TCACTCCACTGTCTCATGACCTGGATTTCCTGCGGTATTCTATCTTCCCCTCCACTGTGAAAATTTCAATTCAATGTCATCAAAGAGTACTGCTTGTGGAGAATTTTAAGTCCCTGAGTAAACAAAGGGGGGATATCTGTATCTGTATCTACACACACACACACACACACACACACACACACACGTCAGTCTAAATGTGTGTAATGTATTCAGCCATGTTCCCATCAGAGCTCCATCACAGTATTTTGCTATCTAATTAAGTAGTGATATTATGGTATTAGCTTATCCCACACAATTACTAACTAAAGCTGACGTTTTCCCAATAAAATTAATTTGCCTTTAATGGAATCTGCTTTTCTCTGAGCCAGCACTGAAAGGGCGGAGGAATAATCATTGAAATGATCCCTGTCTTGTCACAGTGACATGAGGCAGAGTTTGAAAGATGAGGCTATAACGCACAGTATTCCCTTTGCTTTCAGAGTGAAGGCATTAACAGCTATTTCAGGATTAATGTATTTATGACACTTGTAAATTGATTTATGATATTAGCTAACCAAGTGACTGAAGAAAAACCCCCTTTGGCTTTTCTTTGTGTTTATCCTTCCAGCTGCGGGTGAGGAGGGATTCAGATCACGTCTCAGGCTTATGGAAATGCTGGGCCTTCTCCCTTGGCCCTGATCCTAGCAAGGGGAATCATTTACCTTGGCCTCACAAGGGAGCCTGGAGGTCAGAGGGAGGCCACGAGATGTCCTTCCTGTCTCCAAGGCATCCAGTGGCTTCATGTGAAACATGAAGCCTTTTTGTGCAGAGTCACAGTGCTGTCCGAGACTTGCACACATGCCTACTGAGTCGTTTCTTCAGCAGAGATTTGGATGTCAGCATCATTCATTTCTTCTTGTTGTTTATTCCAAAGTCTATTTATGGTTTGCATCTCCCCTGGCGGAAACTGGTTCAGGAGCTACATGTTCCAAGGTTGTTCTATCCCCTGGATTTGGGGTGGCCAGTTGCTGTTTGGGGGCGAGAGCAGTTCTGTCTAGCTCTCTGGTGTCACTGGGTCTGTGTGTGCATTCACAGTGGCTGACGGATGTCACGGGTGTTTGCTGCTGTGGAGATGGGAGTCAGTGATATTAAGAGTTGGCTTTTCTTAAGGAATTTGACTCAACTGTGAGAGTAGTTACTGAGAAAAGATGCTTAAACTTAGAGAAGGATTCCTGGCTGGGGATACCTGTTCCTCAAAAGTCGCTGCTTCTCCACTCACCACATCGGTCAGACCCCTGCCCTTCATAAGATCAAGTGAAGCACCTTCACCTCTAAGTTCCAGTGCACAAATTTCAAAATTTTTCAAAGGTTTTCTAAAAGGAAAGGAAAAGCATTCGCAATACATTGAGATACTCTTCTAAAGCAATATATATAAAAAAAAAAAGACATCATTTTGACAGGTGGAAAACATGGACAATTATGTAGAAATTCAACGCAGCCAGAACTCTCTGAGCTAACTTTAAGATACTTTGGTATTATGTTCAATTTATAAAGGTGGGGTGAGGACATAGACTTAACCCGATTTTTTGCCTTTATATACTTAATCAATAGAATTTCAATCTCCAATAGAAATTGTGCAAAATTGTTGAGTTAACAATTCATGCATGAATGACAGAAGCTGCAAAGATTAAGCACTTATTCTAAATAGAATTTATATTTTCTGCAGCTGAACTATGACTTTCCAAACCCTCAAACAGCAAGGGAAATCCATAGAGTTCCATTTTCCCTTGTGTGGTGCACATAGAAGCTGCACCCTGGTGCTCAAAGCGACCCATCTGTTCCAGTTCCACCCAAGAGCATTGGGTAGCCTGATCGCCTCAGGAGGTTGTGTCTTCTGTTGGTTCTATTTCATTTCTTACTTTTTACACATAGGCCAGTAGGTCTGGCAGTTTGTGTGCTTCCTGAAAAAACACCTTGCTGTTGTTACAAAATCAGACTTATTTCTACAAAATGCATAAGTATGAAAACTACTTCTGGGGCCTGGTGCAGAAACCTGGGGCTAAAATCCTTGCCTTGCACACGTCAAGATCCCTAATGGGAGCCAGTTCTAATCCTGGTGGCCCTGCTTCCTATTCAGTTCCCTGATTGTGGCTTGGGAACGTAGTTGAGGACAGTCCAAAACCTTGGGACCCTGCACCCATGTGGAAACCTGGAAGAGGTTCCTGGCTTCGGATTGGCTTAACTCTGGCCATTGCGGCCACTTGGGGAGTGAAGCTCTTCCTCTCTGTCTCTCCTCTCTATATATCTGACTTTCCAATAAAGATAAAATAAATCTTTAAAACACTATATAAGCCACTTAAAAAGTAGTACAAAGAATTTCCCTCCAAGTATGTACTACACAGATTCAGTGTTTGTGCATATGCATGTACATATGATATACACAGAATGCACTTATACACATGCACTGTGTATGTACTGTACAGTCAATGATTGCTGCACACATGTACATGAGCTGTGAATGCAAGCTGCATGTGTATATAGTGCATTTCTGTACAGCTTTAATGTGTGTGTTCATGTGTACATGAGCTGCGTATGCAAAGTGCGTGTGTACATGTATGTACAAGTTTCGATGTATGTACACATACATGAGCTATGTATGCAAGCCACATGTGTATGTGTGTGCTGCAAGCTTTAATGTGTGTGTACACGTGTACAAGAGCTGTGTATGGAAGCTGCATGTGTATGTACAGTGTATGTTCTGCTCAGCTTCAGTGTGTGAACACGAGCACATATGTAAGCTACGTGCATGTATATTTGGTGTCTATACTGCAGAATTTTCATAATTCTTATTGTTTCATGCCATGCTTCATCTTGTCCTCTCTGTATTAAGTAGCTATTTCCTCATTGTCACCCTCTCTTCAGGCTGTCCTAAGAAGAAATATTTCCTGTGTTTCCAGGTCTGCTGTCTCCCTGCATGCCTCTGATGGCCTTGCTGGTTATGTCTGTGTGAGCTGCCTGTGCCACATGTGGTTGTCATGGCATTGAGCTATGTTTGGGGTAGCTCTACTTGGATGCACATGGGCTGTGCAGCAGTTGCTCAGGGTCATGGCCATGACCTTTAGGAGAGCAAGTCTTGTGGTCAGGAAGGTGACCCCAGGGTTCCTGGAAAGGAAAGAGGGAGAATGTAGGATTACTTATCCAGTGGTCAAAGCCAGATTCAAGAGGGGAACAACGTGCTAAATGGGGGGAGCTACCATGGTAAGGAGTGTGGCTGCAAGAAGGGAAGTGGCATGGGGGTCCTGGAAGTTCACCCACCTCATTCTGCAGAGCGAGAACTCTTGAAGCTGCTGTGAGCATGAGCTCTTCCAGAGGCCGAGCAGGTCAGCCAGTCTGTGACTCAGTGTTGTCACTGGACATGGCTCATGTAACCATCCCCACACGTGGTGATCATCAAGGTCGCCAATGCTGGCAAATCTCTCTCAAGCCCTGTGCATGTGCTTCATGTGCTGGGGGAGGTGGGCAAACGAGTTTTGCTGAGTTTCTTATGCTGAAACCTTGCACCCCACTGCCTCCTATTAGCCTCAGCAACTGGACACTCACCTGAAAGGTCTAGGTGAACTGGCAAAGGCTCTGCCACCTCTTCTCCATTTCTAAAAATGGGAAGGAATGCAACCTATGGGCATACATTGTTTTTAGATTGCCACCACCAGACTCTAAAAAAGCATTTGCGATGTCTGTAAGGTCGCCTGTTGGACTGCTGTTCACTGCAGGCTTTTGTTCTGAAGGGAACACAGAGTGTCATCCCCTACAGTTGTGTTTTCAGCAACCCTCTGAGGAATGCAGGCTGTCAATGCTTCCATCAGTGTCTGATGTTTTCCTAATCCACATGCACAATAGACTGTGGGAAACCTGTGATCAAGAAGTGTCAGATAATGGGCCCGGTGCGGTGGCACAGTGGTTAAGGTCCTTACCTTGCACACCCGGGATCCCATATGGGCGCCGGTTCTATCCCGGCAGCCCCGCTTCCCTTCCAGCTCCCTGCCTGTGGCCTGGGAAAGCAGTCGAGGACGGCCCAAGGCTTTGGGACCCTGCACCTGCGTGGGAGACCCAGAAGAGGCTCCTGGCTTCAGGATTGGCATAGCATCAGGGGAGTGAATCATCGGATGGAAGATCTTCCTCTCTGTCTCTCCTCTCTGTATATCCGCCTTTCCAATAAAAACATAATAAAAATAAATCTTTTTTTTTTAAAAAAAGAAGTGTCAGATATTTAAAGGACAGTGAGAAAAAGGGAGAGAAGGAGAGTCAGGGACTATCCTGGTTGCTGCATGTGTATGTACGTTGTATGTTTCACCAGCTTCAGTGTGTGTGCGTGCATGCAAGCCGCAGATGGGTGACAGGGACCCAAGGACGCATGTCACCTTCATCGACCACCCAGGCAAGCGGAACTTCCAGGACTTGACTGTACTCTCAGATGGGATACTGGTGCCGCAGTGCTGGCTTAATCCACTGTCCCAGGGCACCAGTCTGTTTGTTTCCTTCCTTTTTATGTAGCCTCTCGATTTCAGCCTATATCCCCTTCACAGAATGTTATTTATTAGTTTTAATAACATTTCTTCCTACCACCCCTCCTTTCTTTCCTTTCTTCTTCTTTTTTTAAATCAGTGAGTGGCAGGGAGGATTTTCTTTGTTTTAAAGATGAGCTGACATTGTTGAAAGATTTAGCCCAGTTTATTCAGATTCATGCAAGGATTTCTCCTGGGTTTAAGGTAATATCATTAACAGAGCTATCAGATGCCAACAGTGAGTGGTCAGAGCTCAAGAACATCTCAGTGTGTTTTATTCTTTTATTAGTATCAGCACCATCCTGAATTCAAATAATTGCTTTTCTACTTGAGATCTGCCATAGAGATGACTGGGAATATGGTCTTACAGTTACGGCTACAAAGCGGAAGTAGTAAAGAGTGGGCCCTTTACGTGATCTGATGGCAGACCATTCAGGCTGTCTTCCTTTCTCTTTTCAGACTGAAGGTGAACCAGGGCTTCTGCCGTTCTTTGCTTCTGACGGTCACATGTTGAGCCTACAACCTGTGGCCACACAGGCATCAGGTAAGCAGAAGAAATGGTCAAATGTCGAGTGAACTGCACCGTGTTCTGGCCCCTGATGATGTCATCAGTGGTCATCATGTCTCTTTATACCTGGTTTTATTTTAGTTCAGGAGTGCCCCCATGGCACCCATTTATGGGAGAGAATTTGCTACTCATCACTGAAATCCCTAAGTCAGGTCACTGATACTGAACAATTGGGATCTTTGAGCTGACTGGGAACCTCTGTCCAACATGAAGCAATCGGCTGAGCCTGTTCTCAGGAGGCTGTTCTGTGATTTTCTTCCCCACCTCAGGGTGGAGATTGGTGAACCGATAAGCATCATGCCCTGGAGACCAAGGGCACCTCCCAGAACATGGCCTTGGTGCCTCTGAGTGTGAGAGTGGGGCACAAAGGTGCAGGTGAGGAGCTAAAACCAACAGGCCAGCACTTCTGGAGGCGGTGACCACACAGTTAATGGAGGGAGAAGGAAGCAAAAATGAAAGGACCAGCATCGCATTTCCTTCAGGCTTTTCATTCTAGAAACTGAAGACAGCTGCAACTGTTTCTGTGGTCCAGTCAGTATTCTGTTTCTTCCACTGAGGCCAATATTTAACTTTTTGTGCTAATTAAAATTCTTCATTAGGAAATCAGGTGTCAATGAACCAGAATGGATTTATTTTTTTTAAAAAAAATTGTATTTATTTGAGAAACTAGGACATACACACACGATCAGCCATCCTCTGGTTCTCTCCCAGGGCTGGGCCAGGCACAAGCTGGAAGCCTGGAGTCAGGTGCTTCTTGGGGCCTGATGTGCAGGTGGCAGAGCCCCTGTGCTTGGTCCTACTTCCCAGGGTTTGTGTCAGCAGCAGCTGGAATCAGGAGCAGGAACTGCAGCTGGGTGCTGAGCTAGGTACTCTGTTATGGGCTGTGGGCAGCTAGGAACTGAACTACATGCCATCCTCTCACGTTGTTTTAAAACATTTCCAGTGTATTTTAGCAAGTATTTTTGCATTTAACAAGAATAGTAGGCCTGGTGGCATAGCCTAGTGGCCAAAGTCCTCACCTTGACTGCGCCAGGATCCCTTATGGGTGCAGGTTCTAGTCCTGGCAGCTTCACCTCCCATCTAGCTCCCTGCTTGTGGTCTGGGAAAGCAGTCGAGGACAGCCCAATGCTTTGGGATCCTGCACCCGTGTGGGAGACCTGGAGGAAGTTCCTGGCTCCTGGCTCCGGATCAGTGGGAAGCACCTGGGCTGTTACTTCTGCTTGGGTCAAGTCCAAACCACAAGCTTTGGTTAAAATGGCTGCCACCATTCACTTGTCCTTTATTTATGTCTCTGCTATGTATTTCTAAAGCTGTTTGCCTTGTCATATTTTAACAACATAGAATATGTATTTTCCCTGAAAACTATCAAAACATGGTAATTGCAATCCTCAGTAGTGACTCAAGTCAGATAGGGGCCTGATGAAGAACTGATTGAACAGTAGCCATTTCAAGAGTACAGGGAGCTAGGTGAGGTTGTCCTCCTTGCTCCTACACTGGAGACCTGTCTGCCAGGTGAGCAGAGCTGTGGATTTCCGCGAAAGTAAGTTAACTTTTTTCTGTTATATGTGAGGAGGAAAATGTGTTTTATTTTGATGGAATTACTAGATGATAGGTTCCTTAAGCAAAAAAAAAAAAAAAATCCTGTAACCTTGACACTGTAGAGTGTGTGGATTAATCTGTTACAGAGCTTGTGTTTTCCAGGTTAACCACGTTCTCGTCTGAGTTGGATCTGAGGTTTCCAGTCTTTGTGGAGTGTTTTCTTCCTGCGAGAGCCATGGAAAGGCCACTCTGTGGGAGAGGACCAGCCATGGCTCTCCTCTTCCTCCTGCTCAAGTTCTCAGCAGCAACTGACATTCCACTGTCAGGTACAGCACAGCTCACCGCCTGCACGTGGGTCTGGGCAGCTGCATCTTCATTGCTAAGGGCTAATACTCAGCTTTTGTCATATTTTTATGTGTTGTACTGCCACATACTGCCCATTGGAAGTCACATCTGCCTTTCCTTTTCAAGCTGGTTGCTGTTTGGCTGATGGAATCATTTCTGTAGTGCTAGTTTTGCTTCTCATGCAAGCTTGGTGCGCGAGACAGCTGGCAGCTCAGATGGTGTTTTGCTGTGTCTCTAAGCTGATCTCTGATAATATAGCTTTTGCTTTTTATGTTCTTAGGTCAGCTTACTTGATAGAAAATTGTGATTTGAAAATTATTGACATCTAACTGTCCCTTTTCAATGTTATTATGTATCTAAGAGTGAAAACAATGAATGAGGAAAATAATAAAAGAACACTTTACAACTGAGAATGTAAGCTGATGTGAACTCAAACTCTAGATTCTTATGCAGTGGAATTCAATGGTCCTACAAATATATATAATAAGTATGTACAGACACACACACATATATGTATTTTATGTTGATAAAAATGGATGTTGATTTTTAGGCATCATAAATTATTGTGAATAAACCATAGCATTTTACAGTTTAAAAATACATGTGTGGCACAAGATATGGAAAAACACATCAGACAGTGAGGCGGGGTTAGGAGGAATTCTCCCGTTCTTAGGGCTCAGATGGCATTTTCATTCATGTGCTATAGCAAGGATTACAGGTTATAGCATGAGAGGCACTGGTTACCTGTTGGAATCAGGATCATAGAGATGTCATCACATTCCGGAGAAATTGTCTTAAATCAGAACATTTAGTACATGTCAGAAAGGAAGCAGCATTGGGCTGAAATTTTGATGTGCTCAGAGTGAGAGCAGAAAAAGAGCCAGGGCTGTGACGTGCTTGAAACCTCCTGAGGCCGCTGCAACCAGTGGATGTGCTTGGGGCCATGCCCACCTGAGATAGCCTCGCTCTGCTGCCCATGCCTGATGAGTCCGACTTTCCCATCCAGACACACTGAGTTTCCCATGCAAGTGGCTTAGATCCTCAAACTGTGCATGTGATACCAGGTGTCATAGCTGACCCTGTGTGTGGTACCAGTTGTCATAGCTGACTGTGCTTGTGGTACAGGTGTCATAGCTGATCCTGTGTGTGTGGTACAGGTGTCATAGCTGATCCTGTGTGTGTATTTCTATGTGTCATAGCTGACTGCGTGTGTGGTACCAGGTGTCATTGTTGACTGCGTGTGTGGTTCTAGGTGTCATGGTTGACTCTGTGTGTGTGTTTCTATGTGTCATAGCTGACTGTGCGTGTGGTACCAGGTGTCATTGTTGACTGTGTGTGTGGTTCCAGGTGTCATGGCTGACTGCATGTGTGGTTCCAGGTGTCATAACTGACTCTCTAGGTGTCATAGCGGACTGTGTGTGTGTGGTTCTAGGAGTCATGGTTGACTGTGCGTGTGTGTGGTTCCAGGTGTCAGAGCTGACTCTGTGTGTGGTCTAGGTGTCATAGCTGACCCTGCTTATGTGGCACCAGGTTTATTCATTGACTCTGTGTGTGTGGTTTGGGGTATATTAGCTGCAATTGCAGTGGTTTCTTGTGGTATGCATGACAGTGAATGTTGGTTGGGATTCCTGACCCTTTCTCTGTGCCTTTCCTCTACAGCTTCTTTCACTTGGTCCCTCGATGGTAAAGGATGTGGAATTCTGTGTGAATACATGGCACATATGTTTCTTCTAGTTGCTTCAGTCACTTATGTATTTTTGTGTTCATAGAAAAGAATTGCTATAAAATATTAATGTGCAGCTGAATGTTACCGACTCATTTCCAGACTCTAAGGCTCTTAATAGTAAACACAACTAAGGTATACGGTTTGAATGTCATCTAGTCTGGGGTTGCTATAATTGGTCTAAATACAGAGGAGCGATTTACTCTGTAGCATATGTATTCTCAGAAACACACAGAGATTATTAACTCCTGCCCTTGAATGATTAGTCATTTCTGCACTTTTGCATTCTTAACAAATATGAGAAAGAATATGTTGTAATATACACGGTGTTGCAACTTCTTTACTGGCATCTCAGGGACTGCTGCTGTCTGTGCCTGGAATTGATCCTAATAAACAAAGGGTTTAATGTTGAAATAGTTGTCATGAAGGATATGGAAAATGATTACGGGTTCAACAGTAAGGCAATTATTGAACAAGTTATAACGTGTCAATAACAAATAATAGCAAAGTAATAAACTAATTATAACAGTTGTATGGAAGAACACCAGGCTATAAACAGAGATTTAAAAATGATTGAAATAAGTAAAGCTGTATTTAAATATCAGCATTGATTGAGTGCCAATAAATTTTAAAATATTTAAAATAGAATAATACCACAATTCTTGTGCCTTAAAACAGTGTTCGTATCTCTGGATTTAAATGAAATTAACACATTTGGCACTAGGAAGTGGGGCTTTTACTCCTGTCTTAACATACAAACAGCATTGAAGTATTTCTGTCACCTCTGGCTCCACCTGCTCACAGTGTGTGTGCACAGCACACTCTTGATATGTGTTTAACCTTTAGTTCAACAGGTCCCGACAATCACCAAACAGTCAGAAGTGCAAGTGGCCTTTCCCTTTGATGAATATTTCCAAATTGAATGTGAAGCGAAAGGGAACCCTAAACCAACGTAAGTGCCCCCACATCCCACACGGTCGTACCTGGGTCTCTCTTTTATGCCACGTTTTGCCATGGGCTGTGTGTGTGCATTGGATTGTAAACATGCTTGTGATGGAAGCTGGGGTTCCAAGTGAATGATTACTTTTGCCTATAAAACTGGAGCTACTGTGCTATGCTCCTCTGCTGGTTGAATATGTTTTTACCATAAAATAAGATGTTGTATGTTAAATATTGGGAGTTACCTTTGGTTTGTGGAAACACTCAACCACTTCTCACTCTAATAGTAAGAAGATCATGACAGTTCAGGAGACTCTTCTTCTCCTTGTTAATGGTATCATTTATTCAGTCAAAACACTTTCATAAACGTCATTTAATACAAGTGTCTTCACATCTTAATTCATAGATTAAAATGTTTTATTTATTTTCATTTTATTTGAAATACAAGGGGACAGAGACAGAGGTCACTCATCCACAGCTCACTCGAGAAATGCCTGCAGTGTCAGGGCTGGGAGGTTGGGAGATGGCATAACTCAATCCAGGCATCCCACATGGAAGATGGTGTTGTGGTCACCTGCCACTCATGGTGCCCTTTAGTAGACAGGACATGAATTCATGTCCTCTGCTCTGCAGGCATCCCATCTGCCATTTAAGCAAAAGTGTCCAATGTCTGACCCTCTGTGGACATGCTTAATTCTCACAGAAATGTTTGTTTGTGACTAAGATGTACCCTAGTAATGAAATAATTATTACATGTGATGATCAAAAACTTACTGATTATTTTTTTGCCAAAGAATCTTCTGTATTTTAGGAGGAAGAAGGATGTGTAAGTGTGTTACTAGAGACTGGGCAGGAAATGTGTTAGGGGTGAGGGAAGGAAGTGTGAGTGTGTTAGGAGTGAGGGGAGATGTGAATGTGTTCAGGGTGGGGAAGGACGTGTGAGTGTGTTAAGGGTGAAGGAAGAAAGTGTGAGTATGTTCGGGGTGGGGAAGGACGTGTGAGTATGTTCGGGGTGAGGGAGATGTGTGAGTGTGTTAGGGTGAGGGGGATGTGTGAGTGTGTTAGGGGTGAGGAAGAGAAGTATGAGGGTGTTAAGGGTTAGGAGGATGTGTGATATTTTGATAAATATTTATTAATGATTCATTAACATGCTAAATTACCATTTTAATATTTGTCCAAATAGAATATGTTCAATCAGTGTAGGTAAATGTCAGTAGAATTACAGTAGAATGAAGAATTAGACCAATCAGCTAGTATCCCGGTACACATGCTAATGTGAATATGAATTAATGGAATTATGTCAAAGATGATGCCAAATCACCAGCAGTTGATGTTGAAGGTGACTGTCCTGGTGAGAGCCCAGGTCCTGTTTAGGGTTAGGGTTAGTACATGAAAGCATGCTACACACGTGTATGGCCACACCACACACAGACAAACTCCCAGTGGCAACACATGTCCCATGAAGGCTTATGACGAAACACACACACACACACACACCAGAAGTGTAAGGTTGTTGATCACAGTATTATTCACAGCATGAAAAGTATTGACATGGTGAAGCAATCACAATAGCGATCATACTACAGCATGCAATGTGCTGTCTCTGGTTGTATCATAGTCACTGAAAATATGTGTCAAATATGCCACAAACAAGCCTGCGCATAAAGGTAGGACATATGATCAGTGGATATTGTGGGGTGACGCAGTTTTGGGTTTTGAGTGGGAGCTTCATGTTGTGCACACGTGTTCACATAGTGTCCGTAAGCATAGATGTGCACACACATTGATGATGCAAACATACCACATATGTGCACACATCACACGCAGTGATACACACATATTACACAGTGCTGTGCAGATGCACGGCCGGCATGTGCACATAAATGCATTACACACACATACACACACAACACATTTGTGGTCACTTGCTCCATTTGCTGGTTTCCACATATAACCTTGTGTGTAGTAAATTTGTCTACATGTGTACATTTGTGAGGCTGTACATGTTCTTCGTGGAACAGGTACTATGATGAACACTTTTGAATTTGTTGTTCCAGTGATTGGCAAAGTCAGTTCTGCTGCTACTCCCCCAAAGCAGAGAAGCTGAGCTCGGGAGGCTGAGGAGCAGGGTGCTGGGGCACAGGGTGCGGGGGTTGGGTGGCACCTCTAGGGTTTTTGGCCATGGTGCCTCTTCTAAAGCCAGGATGCATGGTCTACCTTTTCAACTAAAAATATTAAACTCTTAAACACTAGTAAATAATTCTGCATTATCCTTCTGATAGCAAGAAAATTTAAATAACTTGTTTTATATGTCTTAAAAGATGTATTGAATTCCCAAGAGACCTTGAGCTATATTCTGCTATGTATATTTGTACTGGAAAATGTCTTGGTTTTGTGATTTTTGTGTTTATTCATAAGTGTTCAAAATCAGAAAGAAATATGTTACAACTGTCAGAATTATCAAGGTTCCTTTTTACGTTGCAGATTTCATTGGACTAAGGATGACAAGCCCTTTAATCTCTCCGATCCTCGCATAATCCCATCCAACAACTCAGGGACGTTCAGGATCCCCAACGAGGGCTCAGTATCCCACTTCCAAGGGAAATATCGCTGCTTTGCTTCTAACACGCTGGGAGTCGCTATGTCAGAGGAAATAGAGTTTATTGTTCCAAGTAAGTGTCAGACAGAGATTTCAGTTGATAGCTGTTTCAGTGGATTATCACAGAGTTAGAGTGGGCACTAATGAAATAAGACATTATTAACTTGCTTAGCATATGTACAGGTCTTACATTTGTTTATAAATAAGGGAAATCCTGTCCCATGTCTTGCTGCTTCATCGGGATTACCCTAGAAAGCAACACACTTTTGCCACGGTTCAGATGGTAGTTTGTTGTGACTGATGAGAATCAGGGTTAGGCATTACCAGCTGATCTGCCCAGAAAACACCATGGTCATTCCAGAATGTCATCTTAGTGATGCGGTTTACTGTGGGTCTGGCATTTGCTTGGTGGCTGAGCAGGTGATAATGTTGTCCCTGTAGTGTGTTACAGAAATTGGTCACCTTGGAGAAAGCCTATACTCAGCCAATCCTTGCTCCCAGCAAGAAGTTCCCTTTACTCTAAATATTCTGGCAGATGTTGCAAAGCAAGTTGCATACGTCCACCGACCTCTACAGCATGAGTTACAGCTTAGCTAGAAGATGATTTGGACAATGTGTTGATGACCCTGAGGGCTGAAGTCACATTGAAGCTATAGTTAACCTACAGCCTACGCTGGTGTGGGATCCTCTTTTAATTAACAAGACAAAACAAAACAAAAACAAAAACAAAATCCAAAAAGTAAAAAGATAAACACAAATTCCGAAGAAAATTATAATTGACAGCTAATAGTTAAAATATTATGTATTTATTAATGATTTTATAGATTCAGAAAATTTCCAAATGACAAGTGACAAAATATGTAAACTTAGATCTTAGTCTGAAATGACCAATAGAAATGTGAAAATATACTTGACAGCATTGGTAATCAGAAAGAAAATTGGTGGACAACAGCTACTCCTGCATCGTTGGGAAATACTACAACCTCTGGGCCTGAGGATGCTAGTGGCAGTAGCCCTGAGTGTTGTTCCAGTGTGGAGATGGGCCTGGCTTGATGGTCATCCATGAGCACCTGGATCCCTGCCTAGGGAAGGTGTCCTCACCTGTGTCCCAGCCCTCCATGCCCAACAGGTACATGTGTACCAAGTGCACCAACCAACCGGTGGAAGTTTTGTTTCACTGAAACTGTACTGGAGAAAACCCACAGTGCACACAGATGGAATGGGAAAAGGAGGGCAGAGTGAATAAATGAGAGAGTAGAACAGATAAAAGAACTAGTATGGGCATACAGAAAAGGCCGCTGGACTGTGGAGAGACCCTTAGCAGTAGGTCAAGCAATGAAGGGAAAGCTTTGAGAAACACATTCACATGAATCGATTTATGTAAATTAAAAATATATGAAAAGAAATAGCTTGTTGATGAAGGGTAACTTGATGTGGCAAAGTTATGATGCAAGGCAAGAAAGTGATTATACAATACCAAAGAAAGGCAGTCGAGGGGCTGGGCTAGACCCTGACAAAGAAAATAAGAAAATAAGTGGTAACACTCTTCTCATGAAACAATGGGGAATGAAGATATTTTAGTAGAATTTCTTTATTTTCTCGCATTATTTACATCGATTTCATAAGCAATCATATGTTGCATAATCTTAATGAGTGATTCCTTTGAAGTAGCAGTGTGATATGTGACCCTGAAGTTGTGAGGCACAGAGTTGTGTGTGCTCACATGACTCTGCCTTGGGGGTTGAGTTTGGGAGGACATTCAGTGGTGGGTGTCCGTGAGCTCTGGGTCAGAAATCGTGGTTGAGAATGTGGAGCTGTCTTGTCTACTTAGCTGGCCTCCACATCTGCAGATTTCCAACTGCATGTTCAATCAAATGATGAGGGAAAATATCCAGAGAAAATTCTGCATCTGCTGAACATGTGCAGACTAACTTTCCAGTCATCATTCCCTGAACAGGGCAAACAGCTGTGGCAAGACATTTGCTTTCTGTTGAACATTTAAATAACCTAGGCATATTCAAGGTATGTTAGAGCATTTCACAGGCTCTATGCAAACACCATACCAGTTAATACAAGAGACTTGCATTATAGATTTTGGTATCCATGGGGGCCATGAAACCAATTCCCCTCAGACATGGAGGGGCGACTTATGTATGCGTGTTTATGTGTGCAGTCAATTCAGTTAGGTGTGACTGGAAATTTAAAATGAGATGGAGACAGAGAGATTAAACTATTTGGCAGACAGCAAAGCACCAGGGGCATCCCTAACCTGAAATCCAGTGGTTGCTATGGAAACTCACAGAAAAAGGCAGTAGCTAAGCCTATTGCAAGAGAAGAAATGGTGCAGTTCAGCCTATGTTTCTGTGATTAGAAGATTTCTGAAAATATTGTCTCGTTGTCCAAGCAGACCAGGCAGAGGCATGCAAAAATAATTCTGACCAAAGTAAACCAGCCTGGCAGGGAAGGGAAGAGGTAGGGGTTGTGCCCTGGAGTGGGCAACTACTGCTCTCCAGCTGTTTGGGGAGACAGCCCTATTTCCAGGCTCTCCTGAGAGGACTTTACCATCTGACAGCTCCTTCCCCTCTTTGAGGTTATGAACCAGAGACCAAAGCTTCCCACAATCTTCTACAATTTATGCTTCTTGAAGCTGTGTAGAATTTACTCTACTTTTACGTTGATGGGAATTTTGCTATTTGAATTTTAGAATTTATATATCTTAGTATGCTGTTGCTACTCTCAACAAAAGAAATCTTTATGCACAATATTTAGTTTCCTATTTTCAAAAACATTGTGGTTAAATTCCTAGGAAAAGACTGGAAGGTAAATAAACACTGACCAAACAGTATGTACAATTTTCAAACACGTGAAAAACCACATAAGTACTTGGGTTTTCCTTGGCGGTCTATGCGCAGTCAGTCTGAATTTTCCAACACATCTTTAGGAAATTCCCTCATGTGACAGATTGTTTCTAGAAATTTGGGAGGTAACTGTGAGAAGCACAATGTTGCCCTCAAAAACACTCTGTGGGTCTAGGGGTGTCTAGGAGGGGTGGATCCTTATCTTTTTGCCGCCCATACCCAATGGCAGTAGAGGTGAAATGACCATATAATTAATTCTACCATATTATTTAGCAATACCCACCCTCAAAGTACAGTTCAGCTTTCTCCTTCTCCACTTCGCATTCTTAGTCCTTCAAAAACTACTGATTTTTCTGTTCTCTGATCTTAAAAGTAATTTTTTGTTTATGAGATAAAAAGGGAGAGAGACAGATACATAGACTTTCCTGCCACTAGTCCATTCCTGCAGTGACTGAGACTAAGCCAGAACTGAAGCCTGAGCTGAGAACGCCAGCCTGGGCTCCCAGGTGGATGGCATCTACCAAGCACATTAAAGCAGCATGCAGTGCACTCCGAAGCCCTAAAGGCCAGACTGGGAGTCCCAGAGAGAGGAAAGCTCCTGGGCCTCACATGATTGGTCCTGGTATAGCACAAAGGAAATCATTCAGGAAACAGATCACAGGTTCCAAACAGAGACAGGCCATTTCCTCCCATCTGCCCTCCCCGCCTTGTTGGTGAAATTTCCATTCTAGTATTTGAAGAACCAGATGCTGCAGCAGCAGATGTCTTTGAAGCCCTCCTCACTTTATACCCTTTATTGTGATCATGTGTAGCTCAGAGTCAAACTGTTGGAATGGCAGCTAGCATGAACTTAGAGCTTCTTCAGTTGATGGGCACTGCTTCCATCAGCTCAAGTGAAATACTATATTTACATTTGATGCAAATCAACAAGTTAGATGTCGTTACCTTTCCATTTTATGAGCAAGTTCAAGATCATAGAAACCAAGTCAGGCCACGGCCTCAGGCAGCTGATTCAGGGTTTTGTGTATAGATTGGCTACCCTAAGATCACTCTGGTGACAAACCTCTGTAGGTGAACTGCAAGGAGTTCCTTTTCTAGTTGGAAGAATCTTTGTAGTGGCAAATGGGAATTGTAGAGGTAGAAGACACAAAGAAACGTAATGCTGTTCCTCAGTGCTGGAGGAAGTCAGCTGCATACCACGTGCCTAGGTAGTATGTAGGGTGCCAATGTCATTCTCATTCAAGTGGTCTCTGAGCACGAGTTATGTTAGGCTACATGGCCCTGATGCATGTTGTTGATTCTTTCACTGTGCAAACGTGATGGAATGTTACAGCTTAGGTTTGTGGTATTCCTGCTGTTAACAAGCTTCCATTTCAGTGCGGCTCGGGGGTTCTCCTCTGGCACGGTGGGGTCCTCTTGTGGACATGACTACATGCTACTTTCATTTTTCACCCATTTCCTTCTTTTGCTTGCCTTTGCATCTGAACACAAAGAGATTCAACACTGCCCATCAACACTGTGACTTTTGTGCTTCAGTTGTGCAGATAGCACCAGGCAAATGGTTAGAGTCTGGTGCTGTAAGTATAGTGCTTTGTAAGTTGCTATGCATTATTGGATACAGTGTACAGCGCTTCTGTTAAATGACTTGCATCATATTTGCTTCTGTCACAACCAAGCCATTAGCAGGCAGGAATGTGAGGCTTCATCTCCCGGATGGTTCTTTACACAATGAAGGTGACAGACATGCCACCTGTCTTTGCATGGGAATTTCATGCAAACTATAATTCCAAGTTGATTGCCACTCCAAATGTTCCCAGAGTTTTCAGTTGAGCTCTGGTGGCAATTGGGCCAGGAGAGCTGGAAGAACAGTCACCGCCTTGGGGTTCAAGAAGAGAGCTGGCCTTGTGAAGGCCCTGTGGCATACACACAGTCCTGCAGGCCACACCTCCTCTGGCCTTTGGGTTTAGACAACAGCTGACATATGGTAATTAGTCAGTCATGGATGAGAGGAATGCCAACAACTTCCTCCAATGGCTGAGTCTTAAGTTGGGGGCTGGAGATCAGGGCATATGCAGAAAATACACCATGCTTTTCAAGGAGAAACTGCCCAGCGAACAAATGTGTCTTCAGGCTCCAAATAGCAGTAGTGATCTGCTGTGAGTTGCAACTCTGAAGTGGCGCATTGCTAAACAATTCCCTGTGGTCAGGACAGGCAGTCGGGGCCCCTCTGGCTTTCTCTTCCACTAGTCTATGAAACTCTTATCAGGAACAAATCCTGATGAAGTTCAAAGCCACCAATTCAGACAGAATGTACTGTGAATAGTGCTAGAAGTAGAGATACTTTTATAAAATGTTGTAACTGGTGTTGCATCAAACATTCTGCACAATCTTTAGTTCCATGGTGAGGCATTCCCCTTAGGAAGTGGACCGCAGGATGGGAGCAGTGGGCTAATGGTTGATTCTCCTTCCCTGTACCAGTTGTACTCCATTTAGAATTTCATTCACTTGAAAGACCTCCAATGTGGAGAGTGCTGCTCGCAATTAGAGTGGGCATATTTTGCTTTTCATTGCATTCTGCCATTTTCCCTGTTTTTAAAAATTTATTTAGTGTGGTTAATGCTCTGAATGGAATATTTGCCAGTCACATGCAAGGCATTCTCAGTAAAACGGGAAATAGAGTATGTAACTTCCTAATTTAAAATCCAACGTTTGGAGAAAAAAAGATTTCTGATTGGAACTGAAATGATTGAATTTTAAGACTCAGGTTTACACCGATCAGAGGAGCAAGTATTAGCACATTCTTGCATTATTATTGCTGAGGGAAATATTTCTTGTCTAGGGGTTCAAATGCAGGTTATCTTTGAAGCTGAAAAGAACGCACAGATGTTTAACAGAACTTACCTCTGCAGGCAGATGTGAAAATTAGACTTTGGATGGTAGAATTTTCAATTTTAAGATGAAGAATGTTTTAAGATATGACATTAAGAGTAAATTTTAAAATGATATATGAAAATGGCTTTTTATGCTAGGTGTTCCCAAATTCCCGAAAGAAAAAATTGAACCTCTGGAAGTGGAGGAGGGGGACCCGATAGTCCTGCCATGCAACCCCCCCAAAGGCCTTCCACCTTTGCACATTTACTGGATGAATATTGGTGAGTAACATCTTGCCTGCCATTGAGAGGTACTTTGACTCAGTAAAGCCAGAGATAAAATATTGACATAGTCATTCTTCAGTGTCGGCTGGGGTTCTGTCTGCCTCATCCCCAGGATACCGAACCCACAGATGCTCGAGTCGTTTATGCTAGGTGTGTCAGGTATCCTCATGGAAGCGCTAATCATATTAACCTTCTTTGTAACACCTAGCATATGAGAACGTGCATGGCTATTGCACTGCACTATTCATGTCAGCATCATCCTGTGCAAGCACAGAGATTTGCTTGTTTGAGTCTTGTTTTCCTTTGTTGGAAGGGGCAGAGTCTGTGGCAACTGTATCAGGTCATGTGTGTGGAATCAAACAGCTTTTAGAGACTAGATTTTCAAAGCGAGAGCCTCTCATAAGTTCTAGACATGCCCTAATGAGTGCATGTAGCAACACTGGAAATGAGCAAAGCTGCTGTGTGTTGTGTATCCTGCTTGGACAGAGGGGAGTTGCTGATGAAAGCATTTTTGTCTCTCACCACCTCCTGGCGTTTGGGTTGTGGCTCACCTATGTATGTGTTGCCAGCTCAATGTTTTAAAGGTAGTAAAGTTCTTCTTTTGAGCATAAGAACCACCAAACACAATTTGGTCTTCGTTGTCTAAAAAGTGTTGCTGACTTCCAGCTTGACATTCATTCCAGCCTCATGTAAAGCCTGCTTCTGCTAGAAGCCCTTTGCTCTGGGAGTGTTCCCTCACCAGGCCTGAGAAAACAGATGGGACTCATGTAGCTCACAGAATAGTGCCAGCGAGGCTCTCTCAGCTGCCACAAGTTTCAGGCTCCAGGCCACCTAGAATCCATCAGCCTTTCCCCAGGACAAAGGGTTGAGCAACACAGACCCAGTATTTAGGTCCTTCGTTTATAGAGATAAGACTTGAAAACAATAAAGTGATCCTGGGGCTTATCAGTGCCAGCTGGATTTCAGGTAAGCCTGTGCAGCCCTGTGAGCCAAGCTGGCGACAGAGATGGCAAGGGGGTGCAGGCTGCTTCTCCCCTCCGCAGTCTCTGATGAGCAGTGAAGAGTATGCTCTGGGACTTTGCTGCTGTTGTTTCTGTTTCTCTTTTTTTCTCACTCATTGTTCTTTTAGTAAGAACAAACCTGATAGGAACAGGATGAGCACAAGAAACATCTCCAATAAAACGAAAGAATATTAGAGAGAGGGGAGTGATAAGGTACAAGGAGGGAGAGCATTGCTTCCATGACAAATACTTCTTTGCAGAACTGGAACACATTGAACAGGATGAGAGAGTGTACATGAGCCAGAAGGGAGACCTATACTTCGCCAACGTGGAGGAGAAAGACAGCCGGAACGACTACTGCTGCTTTGCTGCATTTCCCAGGCTGAGAACCATCGTGCAGAAAATGCCAATGAAACTGACAGTCAACAGCTGTAAGTGTGCACCCCGCCCACCACTGTTCATGCTGCATGCAGGTACACCTGCCCTTTTGTGCTGCTGCAGCCATTTAAACTTTGAGTTGTTCAGGGCCACCCTACACATCGAATGGTGTCTGTGATGCAGCTCCATGGTGGCGCTACCTCTTGCAGATGGTCAGTCTTAGGACAGGGTGCAGTGGTTCCTCTGTGTCTGAAGGACCTGGTCCTTTTAGTGGGTTGGATAATCAATGTAATTTTAGGGCTTTCTATCAAGTCTTGACCATTAATTCACAAGATCTTGCAAAAACCAAGAAACTTCCACAAATTGTCTAAGTTGTTTTAATACCCATCCAGCAATGCTAATGAGAAAGTTACTGAAGGGAAGAACGTGGCCTCAGTGGCTGGGCGGGAGTGCTGGTGGTGTGTTGTTGGGAGTTGGTGTTACCATTTCACTGCTTGGAATGTGGTCCACTGTGTGCACTTGGTACCAAGGCTTCACCAGAATGTCCAAATGGCTGAGACCTGTTCTGGTGAAGCATGGCTCTACTTTGTTTGAAGTGTGACTTTCCATTCTGTACCAGAATTAGCATCTACCATCATGTTTGTGGTTTTTTTCTTCCATTTTTATTTCAGTAAAGCATGCTAATGACTCAAGTTTATCCACAGAAATTGGCTTGCAGGGTAAGTTGGATGTGTATGGCATGTGGATCTTTATTTTGTCACTCTAAGTAACTCATTGTCATCTCAGAATGTGAGTTTTTCCTTTAGTTCTGTCACAAGTTTACTAATACTCCTGTTAGAGAAAAATCCCTTAGCCTAATAGAGGGCTCTACTGTCCCACTTTCCTCTTGAATGTATGCAAAGGGTGTGTTCTTTATGAGTACATGATTAAGAATATCTAGTGATATATCTATATGCAGTGTAATTCACACACACACATATATATGAGAGAGAGGTATAGAAGTGCGTGTAAATGATATAGGTGTGGAGGTGGATGTAAGTGTTGATGTTGGAGTAGAAATAGGTATTCAATGAAGTCTTTGTTTTGGGTCTTCCAAGGTGTCTTATGGAGTGATAGTTCTACATAAAGGAAGAAAAAAAAACAAGATGGAGAAGTGTCAACAGAAATAGATAGGACTGAGTTTCAAAAGTTGAATGAATGTTTTTGTTGCAAGATTTCTTGGAATATTTAACATGAGGCTATAAATTGTGACACTGAGAAATTGACAGCTCTCAAACTCATTGTCTGTGGAACATTTTAACTTTGTTCCATAAAGAATCATCACTTTTGTGCGTGGAAATGCCCGCGTAAACCTGAAACACATAGTTTTCTGAGAGTGCATGAATGTTCTTAATGCTCCAGGGAACAGTGGCCCCAGTAGGTTCTCTTTCATTGCCGGGGCAGCAGAGGCCTCCTCAGGAAGTGCCTTTAGCTGTGAAGCGGCTTGCTTCATTGCTATTGTCACTGTGGCTTGAGAGCTGTGACTCAAACCTGCCTGTTACTATGTCTTCACAGTGCACACAGCCACCACACACAGCATGTGCTTAGTAACCAAGGAAGCTCGTACACGGGGTGGAATGTTAGCTACTGATTGTCTTTCTGCATCCTGTCAAACATGTTGCCGTTGGATGAGAAAAGCTCTTTGTGTTAGCTTTTGGAAATGAAGCAAAACTTTTCAGTGGGTTTGCCATGGTATTTGAGGAATATTAAGAAAACAGGGGACAGGAAGCAACAGTCTGAGGGGGTGCGGGTGACCACGTTCCCAGGGGAGTGTCTCCACCAAGGCTGTGGCTATGAGGCTGTTGCCTGAAAGGCCAGACAGATCACAAGTGGTCAGTCAGTGTCCAGCTCAGCCACCTTGGTCAGGTTTTCTGGGTACAGGGCTTGGGAAGCTGGCATTTCAACAGGAAACTGATTAAAGTACACAGACGCATCAAGTCATTGGGAAACAGCCATGAGAAAAGGATGACCAAAGTGCAGCATATAAAATCATAGCCTGTTCATTAACTCCAGGGCTTCGCCAAGGAGTTTATTGCAAATGCTGTCTGAACTTCTGAACTTCCGAAAAGAAGGGATGAATCAAAGCCATCGTGAACCATAGTGCTGCCCTTAGCTGATGCACTGGAGACAGCCTCACTTACCAGCCAGGGGAGGGATGAGTGTCTGCAAAAGGAAATGCGTCAAAATGTGCATGCCTTCTTCTGTAATCCTGCACCCCACACACAGACGCATGTTTTAAGGGGGGTGGAGGGCTCCAGAATTCTTAACTCGCTTTGAAAAAGTCTGTCTTTTCTCTTTTGTAGCAAACTCAATCAAGCAGAGAAAGCCCCGGCTGCTGCTTCCCCCTGCAGAAGGGGGCAGCAAGTCTCTCATCATTGTCCTCAAGGGGGACACCCTACTGCTGGAGTGCTTCGCTGAAGGCCTGTGAGTAGCCTGATGCCCACACACACTTCGTCCACCCTTTGCTGCCCACAGTAAGATGACCAAGAATGCACTTGCAGACTATTATTTTATTTTATTATTATTTCTGTTGTAATGTTTAACTGCTATGCTACTGTATTTCTGGAGGAAATAACCCATGCTCCATGCTGCAGATGTCAGACTGTGACTGAGGTTCACCAGTAGTTACAACTGTCAGTTTGTGGTCTTGTGAGTGGAGCACACAGGATGCCTTCGTGTTGAGACCATGTGATCCGTCGATGTAAGGGCTTAGCAGCCACGGCCGTTTTTTCTCTCTGTCCCTCTCCTGCTTACTGCATACCAGCTCTGATTCCTTATCAGTTCCTGAGGAGCCCTATTTGTATTTTCACTGTCATGCTTTGAACACAAGTGAGGCCAGCCTGGAATTTGAGTTTCAGCATGGTGGCTCAGTGAGCTGATCATCTACCTTGCAGTGCTGCCATCTCACATAGACTCTGGTTCATGTCTCAGCTGCTCCACTTCCCATTCAGCTTCCTGCTTGTGGCCTGGGAAAGCAGTAGAGGATGGCCCAAAGCCTTGGTACCCTGCACCCATGTGGGAGACCAGGAGGAAGCTTCTGGCTCCCTGCTTTGATTGGCTCAGCTTCAGCTGTTGTGGCCATTTGGGGGCAGCCTTTTAAATGTTTAGCCATAGACAGGCCTGTTCTCAGTTCTAGACTCTGGAGCCTGGTGCTTTCTTGCCATTGGGAAGGGCCTGGGATAATGTAGTTAATCTCAGCATCCTGTATACTCACTTGAACCATTGTGTGTAGACTGAGGATGCTGGGAATTGAAATTGGAAAGCCCTGTTTATGTGTAATTCACCATATATTGTGAAGGTCTGGTTTCCATTAGAATATGAAGAGATGGAGCTGATTGGAACAGTTTTATGATACCATTCTATGTAGATTCTTCAATCAACAGTGTCTTGATGTGCTGAGACTTGGCCTCAGACCAGGAGGTTTGGTACTTGTGTTATTTCAGAGCAACGACTGACTGATTAGTTTAAATCATGACAATAGCCACCTCTCCTGCTGGCCATGTTTATACATGTTTAAAACAGTAATAGTTGAATCTACTGGTTGTATATCTTTAAGGTGGTAAAAGTTGAACCCATTCTGGGATGACTCTTGGCTAGGTGGACCTTTCAGTAATTTCTTTTTATTTTCCACAAATGCCACCATTTACCTCTTGTATTGGAAATCACACCAATCTTGTTTCAGATGGTAGAATTGCTCTCATATGCTCATTAGTAGCCATGAAACCTTGTTAAAATCAGGTGGAAGGATTGGTACTGTGGTTTTAAACATTGTTCACGGTGTGTTTCACACTTACCAATCATCGTGTGGTGCATCTGTGGCTCCAGTTACTCGGTGCTCACCCAGCTACTCCTCGGCAGTGCTGTCAGGAGACTGGCTTTCATAATATGGGGGACAGAGGTGCCTGAGGCAGAGCCATCCGAGAGCTTGCTGTGAAGGAGACTTACTGGGCCCAGAAATGGTAGAGTGGGCATCCGTTCACTGGGCAGTCTGGTAAGAGTGTGTGTGTGTGCTGAGGGCTTTCCTGTATTTTATGTTCCTTTATTATTTTTTTTTTTCACAGTCCAACTCCACAGATTGAATGGAACAAAATGGGTGGTGATTTACCCAAGGGGAGAGAAACTAAAGAAAACTACGGCAAGACCTTGAAGATAGATAATGTCTCCTTTCGGGACAAAGGAAATTACCGCTGCACAGCCAGCAACTCCTTAGGGGAAGCCACTCATGACTTTCATGTGGTGGTGGAAGGTGCGTTTCCCTTGTTAAGTTCTCTTTTTTATTTTCATCTAAATGAGAACCAATATGAGGTGAAGTGTGACTGTCCAAGCACTTCCAGCTTTCTGTTAAGTCGTGTTCCACACTCAGTGACCAGCTCAGCCTCCATCCAGTCCAGCTTCTAGCTGAGTCATGACACACACCCATCTTCTCCTCTTGCAAGCCCAGACACACCCGAGAAAAGAACGGATCTGGTTAGAGATCATGCGGAGGCATCTGTGACTTGTTCTGTTAAACACCCTAGCCTCCTCTATCATGATGGGAGAGACTACCTGCAGTGCAGTGCACTTGTCATATGCACCAGAGCAGAATCCTGAAGGGAAAGTGCCCAGGCTCCATAGCTGTGAACCACACTTGTGAAAATAATCGTAACCATACTGACCATGTCTGTCTTTTTCCTTGTCATTTCCTTAAACAATGCAATGTAACAACCCTTCATATTGTATTATCTCAGTTATCGTAAGGCATATAGACAGTGTAAAGCCTAGGGCAGGATTGTGTGTGTTCTCTGTGAAAACTACACCATTTAGAAAAAGGGTTTGAGTGCCTGCAGAGTTTTGTATCCACACGGGTCCTGGCAGCTACTCCCTTTTGGTACCAAGGAAGACCATGTTCAGACAGGTCTGGAAGAAAGTGCTTGCTGTGTACCTTGTCCCTGTCCTGTACAAGGGAGAGTTGGCTCTGTCTTATCCCTTTCCTAAATGGGCTTTCCCCTGTGTTTTGGGTTTTGATGATGTTCACCATGTTATCACGGGGAGAGAAAGACAGAGACTATGTGCTGTGAGTGTTATTTCCCATAAAACTGTTCAAAAACACACGATATTCATTTTCTATGCAAATCCAAGCTTCCCGGCCAACTGAAGTCTGACTGTTGTTTGTTGTGTTGATGGAGACACGCAGACAACGATGATGTTTTAAAAGGAGCAGCCATAACATTCAAATGCTGATTCCGAGGCTTGGGCAGCACTGAGGGTCCTGTGTGCTTGGACATTCGGTCAGTGCCACATCACACTGGGACCCTTGCTGTGGTTTCAATGACCATTGATCAAGTTAATTGGAAGATGGCCATATTTGTACTTATTAGTGCAGTACAGGCTTTAATGACTGTAGGAAGAATCTCTTCCAAGTTGACATTTAGTGATGGCGCTCCAGGGCTCTGTCGATATTCCACTGAGGTTCACTTCTTAAAGCTTTGATTTGCTCAAGAAACATCTATGCAATGATGTGTTGTCTTAATTGATGGGAAAATGAGTCAGTCACAAATTCCACACACAGTAAATGTTGAGAATTGATTTAGTCATGCCCTCTCAGAGTAACCTCTTCACAATATGATTTAATGATATAAGGTAGGAAGAAAAGAAAATTAGAAACTGGAATTTCATTTACTTTGGTTCAAATAAAGGTAAGACCTACCTAGAAGTCCAGTATTATGCATTAGCGTCAACACTTGTCAGCAGTGATACATCCCTTGGACATGAAGACACACAGGGAGGAAGCATTTAAACAATTTGTTTTACCTATTTTTAGGCATTGTTCCGTGCTTTTTTCTAGTGTGGCAATGTCTGTACCCCTCATGCCTCCTGCACATACCCACGAGCCAGACACGACTAACTCTTAGTTGCTCCTGATCCAAGATGCTGACTGTTAGAGATTTTTCCAGATGGCTGCCGCACGCTATGCTAACTGAATATTTTAACAATCTGGCCATGGGTTTCTTGATTGTGAGAACGAAGCTTTAAAAAGAATTGCAAGAGTAGCAAAAAAAAAAATAAATAAAATAAAAAATGCAAAATTACTTATGCAGTTTAAAATCTTGACTGTTGGGATTCCAAAGATATATGCTTTCTAAATACAATGTTTTCTTGATTCACAAAACAGCGATTAACTTTATTGAGATTTACGTTGTTGTATGAGGAACCGATGTGCTGTAAGCATTTCTTTTGGCATGTGCTGTGTAGGGCTGATTGTGTCTAAGAGGTCGTCTTTTTCTAAGTTGTAAAATCAATTGATGTGCTCTGCTCCCTCATTGTTTGATCAGTTCACTTTCACTCGATCTTTCTGCCTGCCTGTAATCCTGAACTCTCTTTTTTGTCTCTTACTAAGAAAATCAAATTAGAACAACGATAAGCCATATGGGGGAAGTGCAATGCTTTTGTGCACTTTGAAAACCCAGTGCCTTTTGAAAACATGCTTTGTGCTTACGTTGAAGCATAGACTGTATTGTATTCTGTATCAGATGTTTCTTCCTACGAACACATTCCAATTCTATGAATTATTAATTTAAGCTACAACATCCTAAATATGAAATCAAGCTAAATGTAAATCATGTAACAATATGCATAGCCAACAGTAGCGAGGACGTCTTGCGTTGGCACAAGCGTACCCCAGGTATCCGTGGTAACGCTGCTTGCACATTCGGTAAATGGAGGTAGCTGCTTTCCAAACCCAGAAATCAGAATGTGACTTAGATTTAGACTTTAGCTGATTACCCAAAAGTGAATTCACACCTGCAATTTGCATGTTACTACCTCTTGGCTCATTTAAGGCTTTTCAATTTTAATAAATGTGGCAATCTATTTGTGATTTTGTATCTATAATCTGGATGTTTTGGCTTTGATGGTTTAAAACGTTATTATGAATTCAATTGCAATCCAACAAATTAATCTTCAGAAAATTCTGATTCTGAAAATAAATAGGTTCCTATCTGTGATGAAGTCTGTTGACTTCTTGGTGTGTGGACATTTCATAGGGTTAATGCAATCTGCAGGATGAGAAAAGAAGAAGAGATCCTGCATTATTCCTCACCCCTGCATGATCCTTCTGAGATCAGGGGCCATGCTTTCTACTGCACAGAGTGTTTCCCTTAATTTATACACATTGGGTTTTATTGTGTGTGTGTGTGTGTGTGTGTGTGTGTGTGTGTGTGTGTGTGTGTGTGTGTGTAAAAGATACCCAAAAGGAGCAAATAACATTGAAAATGCCTCTGAAAGTGATTCCCAGTTTATCACCTTGAAACCTGCATTTTAATTAAAAGTTCCCAGATTGTATTATAAGCACAGACATCAATGGATCTTGGAATTTAATGGTTAAGTCCATGCCAAGTAGAGTGCTTTCGAAAGCTTTTAAGCTTACTCTTGCTGGGACTTGAATTTGCTAAAATTATTTATGCACTTTCATTTTCCCTAACAAATTTTTGAATGCTTTCCTTTCACACAATCCACCTCCCCCATATTTGTGCCAACAAAAATTATGTGCAGGGAGTGGTTCATGTTATGCATGTGTCTTTGACGATTTTACCCCTCCATGTCTTGGGAGACAGAACCAGAACTGTTACCTGCACGGTCGACTGGTGACTCCCTGCTGACTCCAGGGACAACACATGACAAGGATGTGCAGGCTGGGAAAATGACCTGTCTGTGCTGAGCCCCACAGGTGACAGGGACGTGTCCACTCTGTGCTGAGCCCCACCCAGGTGACAGGGACGTGTCCACTCTGTGCTGAGCCCCACAGGTGACAGGGACGTGTCCACTCTGTGCTGAGCCCCACCCAGGTGACAGGGACGTGTCCACTCTGTGCTGAGCCCCACAGGTGACAGGGACGTGTCCACTCTGTGCTGAGCCCCACCCAGGTGACAGGGATGTGTCCACTCTGTGCTGAGCCCCACAGGTGTCAGGGATGTGTCCATTCTGTTCCGAGCCACTCTCAGGGCAGCAGGGTGGAATGTTGGAGTGTCAGAACCTGGACAGGTAGTGTCACGAAATCCGTCTTCTCAAAGCTTGGGACTTGTTGCTGCTTGCATGTGCAGAGATGGAGATCAAGATAGATGGAGAAACGCTTAGGTACTGAGAAGTACCTAAATGTGGACAATGCTGCTTCTGTGAAGAGATGCCTCAGGCACCATACGCCATCTCCTCAGAGCCTGGCGCCAGCCCTGTTGCCAGTGTATGCCCCCTGCTGGGCCAGCATTTGGCCTCACAGCTCTGTGCTTCTTTGCAGAGCCTCCACGATGGACCAAGAAGCCACAGAGTGCGGTTTATAGCAGTGGCAGCAGCGGCATCCTGCTATGCGAAGCAGAGGGCGAGCCCCAGCCCAAGGTCGTGTGGAGAGTCAATGGTGGCCCCGTGGATGGTGAGTTACGTGGCTTCGAGTGAGGGTGTGGGCAGTGGCCAGGTGCTAGTCAAGACTGAGTTGTGGGGAGCTGGGGAATCCTGGAATCATTTCTTGGTTACATCTGAGAGTGATCGTGCCCATGTGGCTTCTCCCACAGGCCCCTGGGCTAGCTGCTGCCTCTGCCAGCTCTAGTCCCTTCTCATCTGCCCAAGGCCCAGCAGCCCCCAGTCTTCTCTTATTCCCTCCCTGCAGAGAGTCCAGGCCAAGTCTCGGGTCCAGCCTGGAGGGTTCTGAGGGCGTTGGACAGGCAGCAGGACTAGGTCTGTGCATTGACCACCCAGATGACCCTCATTTGAGGAGAGGAGGGCATGGGGGCACTGTTCAGGGTCGCTTTTGCTTACCCCACTCTCTACTGATCTACAGAGGTCAGTGTCTGCCCCTCTGCCAGCATCCCCAAAGGCTGCCCCGTGACCTGTGCTCTGGCTCAGGGTCTCCGGCTTTTGGTCATCGTCTGCTTTGGTTCTGACAGGGATTGGCTCTTACCTGCCCCTTGTTTAAAATTCTAATCCTGAGTTCTGCTCCTCTCTGCAGCTCCTGGGCCACAGCAGGGTTAGTACTGAGGAGCAGACAGATTGCCGCACTGTGGTCTTTGGGTCAGAACTCAATCCACAGAGATGGACATGCAGTCCAGTTTCTGCTGCTGGACATCGACTCCCCTTTAATCAGGGCTGGGGTGGCTTGAGGTGGATGGTCTGCTGCCTGGGACTTCTTCGGCACCATTGCATCTGAAGTCATGAATTGGCAAAATATTGATCTCTTATGAGTATCATCCTCACAGACATTTTTAAAAATAAAGTATTAATGATTTCACTATTTTTCCCCTTCCTAAATATGATGTTTGTCCTGAGATCAGTTTTAGCAGAATCCATGTTGCCAATAACAGCAGATCTTTTCAAACGATGTCTTTCTCAGTGTCTCAAACTAGATCTAGCTGAGGAATATTACAGTGAGTTAGTGTTAATTGGTTCTGGTGCACAAAAGTTCAGCTATCCAGGCATGGCTTTCCTGGTTTGCATTATCTGTGAACTTTCCAAGCTCCCATGTGTTCATCTTTCCTCTGCTCTTTTGCAGCATCACAGCAAGGACACAGGATGTAGAGTCAGCCATGTGGTCACACCTGGTATCAGCCCCGGAGGTGATACCAGGGCCCCCAGCTCTGGAACAACCAGGACTGTGCTGTCTAGGAGGCACTGGGCAACTCCTGTGGCTTCTCTTGGGGTTCTCTGGCCCCAATAAGTGCACCAGAAATGCCCAAAATGATGGTCACAGAAGCACACTTGGGTAGAAGAGCAGGTTCTATTGCCAAAATACGGAAACTGGTCTTTGCTTGCAGGGAGGGTTTCTGCTGTTGGGAAATGGACACAGAGCCAGGTACCAGTGAACATGCCAAGTGAAGTGCACAGTGCTCCTGAGGGATTCGGAGGGCTTGGAAGAAGGCAGCCTGTACTGGTGGCTTGCAAAGGTTGCAATTTTGTGCCCTTAGTATCTTTGCTGGCTGAAGTTGGCCTCTGAGTTCAGAAGAATGAGCAAGAGTGGCTTGACAGTGGATTTGAGTGTCAAAGAGGGCATTATTGAGTGTGGGAGGAGAGAGCAGTGAGCTGTGAATCAATGTGTCTTTTGTAACTCGAAAGAAGATTAACACTGCAAGAGCCTGCAAAGAAAAATCCATAGTTGATGCTATGAAAAGGAGTTGTCTTCAATGAATGATGATTTTTCTTCCTAAACTGTTATTAAAATATAAATACTGTGTGACACTTTTAATAAATGGTGCATAAATACTTTATGTCCTGTACTTAATCAAATCAGTATTCTTTAATCACAGGCCATCCTTTTGCTGGCGATGTTATCTTACCCAGGGAAATCAGCTTCACCAATTTGCATCCAAATCACACTGCTGTGTACCAGTGTGAGGCCTCCAATGTACACGGGACCATCTTAGCCAATGCCAACATCGATGTTGTTGGTAAGTGTGCCCTCTAGCAGGTGGCAGCTGGACCATCCTGAAGCAGTTGGCGCAGTCACAGCCCAAACAGTTGATGAATCTTGGCATGTGAAAAGTGGGGGACAAGAGCACCTTACACCTTGCATCTGGGTGTGCCTGTGCTGAACTTGGAGCTTTTCTATTGTAAGTGTTCAGGCAGAAAATTCTGGTTGATAGGACTGGGATATAGGAAAACACAATTTGCATGTCTTTCTTTTCTTTAAAAAAATATTTATTGTTTATTGCGAAATCAGATATACAGAGAGGAGGAGAGACAGAGAGGAAGATCTTCCATCTGATGATTTACTCCCCAAGCCGCTGCAACAGCCAGAGCTGAGCCGATCTGAAGTCAGGAGCCAGGAACCTCTTCTGGGTGTCCCACATGGGTTCAGGGTCCCAAGGCTTTGGACTGTCCTCGGCTGGTTTCCCAGGCCACAAGCAGGGAGCTGGATGGGAAGTAGGGCCGCGAGGATTAGAACTGATGTCCATATGGGATTCTGGTGCGTCTAAGGTGAGGACTTTAGCCACCAGGCTACTGTGCTGGGCCCCGCGCATGTTTCTTACATGAAAGTTTAGAACTAATTTCTGCTGTTTTTAGATGTCCGTCCATTGATAAAGACTGAAGACGAAGAACATTACGCTGCAGTGGTTGGGTACAGTGCCTTCCTGCACTGTGAGTTCTTCGCTTCGCCCGAGGCTGTGGTGTCCTGGTAAGCTGGCTGTTTGCTGTTGAGGATGTCATGGTAGACTTTGCCTTGCTCTCTTGCCCTTCACTGGACAGACCATCAGGAGTCCACATGGTCACCTGAACTCAGTGCCTCAGAGGTAGGGAGACACTCCTGACTCCCTGTCTCTCCTCAACTCCAGTTCTCACCTGGTAGTGCATTCATGGAGGAAAGCAGAGACTTGCAAGGTGCCATGGCACAGCTAAAGGTGGCGTTGGCTGTCCCTTGGAAATGTCTGAGGTCATGTATATGTGATCTCACTGTTGCTGTTTGGGTATTGTCTGGCTACCTCTGTAACGCTGATCTTTACTGTGATTTCTGCGTGTTAATTAGGATCACAAGTCCAGACATTTGGATTTACCTTACTGGAAAGCCTGGTCTGCCCTACAATAACCTTGACATCACTCTTGCAGAGGCCACCCAGGTGCAGAGCTGGATCCCATCCATACTTATACTATTGTTGTTTGCACATTGCCTCCTTTCCACATTCTTTCTGAATTTTAAATTTTAGAATGGGGTCTATTTTTATTCCAGCCTCTCTGTAAATCTGCACCTCCAATAATCTCACTCTCAGCCCACTCCTGCCCTGAGGGATTTTGTGTGGACACAGCCCCCCACAATGCTGCTAGCTCTGGCAGTCACTGGGAGACACACAAAGTCAATCAGACCAGCAGATACCTGGGAAATGGATAGGGGTTGGGAAAGTACCCAGGGCTTGAGAGGGGGCTGCGTTGGGGTTGCAGGGTCCCCCAGCTTCTACCATTTCTGAATGATCACCCAGGGCAGTAGGTGGCTGGGAAGTTCATTGTCCGATGGCTTCTGGCAGAACCCTGGAGCAGTGCTCAGCTAAAGCTGGTACTCAGGAAGCCAGAGAGCATGTATTAAGTTCTGATGCAGATGGGTGATGGCTGTGAGAGGGGGCTCAGCTCTGTGGGCACAATCTACGTGGGCAGATGAGACTCATAGCCACACTGGAAGAACATGAACCCCTGGGCAGCATTGTGTGAGGTCTTCTAGGCTCCTGGGAAGCCATCAGCCCAAGGATTAGAGGACCTCTTCCTATGTGCTGCAGGAACCCCTCACTTGCACCCCTACTTTCCTGTGTCCACAGGCAGAAGGTGGAAGAAGCCAGCCCCCTAGAGGGTGGGCGGTATTATGTACACACAAATGGCACGTTGGAGATCCATGATGCCGTCGAAGACGACGCCGGGGCCTATTCCTGTTGGGTGGAAAATGCTGTAGGAAAGACTGCAGTCACAGCCACTTTGGATATCAGAAGTATTTCTATTTCATTTTCACATTGGCTTCTATGTAATGTCATTTTACTAAACAAAAATACGCAATTTCAGTTTGAATCCCTGTTAAGTTTCTTTAGATTATTCTGAACTCCTAAGCTTTGTTTCATCTGAAAGACCACAGCAGGCAGGAGATGGGGCATCCACAGCTGTACACAGAGCTAAGAGGGAGCTGTATGTCCATGTGGTGGCTTTTAAAACATTCACAAATTCCTTGCCTGGGTGCATTTCTGTAACTGCATTTCATTTCAGTAGCCAATTGGATGTTATCCATAATGGAATCTGAGATAAAAATTTCAAAAATTCATAAAAGCTCAGTTGCATAAAGACCAGGCATAGCAGATCTGTGCTGGTTTTGTTGTTTTTTAAAAGTTGCTTTTTAAAATAGGTTATTTTGTGTATTTTTCTTACTTGAAGAATAGGGTGACAGAGAAGGCTAGAGTTGGGCCAGGCTGAAACCTGGACCTCCGTTTTGGTGTCCCTTGTGGGTAGGAATGACCCGAGTACTTGGACGATCTCCTGCTGCCTCCCAGGGTGCTTACATTGCAAGCAGAGGAGCTGGTAGTGGAACCAGACACCACTATATGGGAGGCTGGCTTAACGTGCTGCACCACAGCTCCACCCATAGGTGGCTTTGTATTCTTTCTTCAGCATAGATCACTGCCAGTCTGTTGGGTTTCATTGATATTTTGACTTGGAAATCTCTGAGCAAATCCTTTCAGGAAGCCCCAGGAACAGAAGTGACCTGAGGTGGCTGTAGGGGCCACTTCACTTTCCAGAATCAACCACAACAGTTGTGAAGGTTGCGTCTGTTTTTATATTTTAAGCTGCAAACTGACATTAAAGCTGAGCAGTGCAGCCATGGTCAGAGTCATAAAGAAGGAAGCCTGGAATGACAATGAGACCCCAGTTCCTGATGTCCAGCATGGGACACAGGCCAGGGTGGACTGCCGGCCACAGGCAGGGAGGTGCCAATTCCATGAGCATCAGCACCACCAGTGTGTGCCATGTTTGTGAGGAATATATGGAATTCCCACTAGTGGAGGGCCAAGGGCAGGATTTCGGTGTATAAAGACCAAGCGTTGAGGATGGAGTCGAGTCAGAAGCTGAGCTGCAGGGATGAGAAGTGTAAGCTTGGTCTGCCCTGCAGTTAGGAAAACTCTCTCAGTTTTGCTTTGGCTTCATTCTCTATTCAGATGGGGATATTCATAGTTGAGGATCTGCTGTCATTATAAAGTTCACAATGGTTGTGAACTTCTTGGTGGAGTCCTGGTGAATAGAGTGTTCATTGAATGATCTCTGTTGTTTCAGAACAAATTTCTAACTGAAAATTTAGAATTAAGTGTGGGATTTTAAGAATCCCCTTAAAACTAATTCAGTGTATGGATTTCTCCAGCTTTCATGCTTTTGATACTGAAACTCCATCTTGGTGACATACTTAGTTTTTACTCAGTTCCTTGAAAACCACCTAGGCAGCGAACATGAGAGCCTGGCACTGGGACTGGGGGCCAGCGTGTGTGGCTTGGGCTCTGGTAGCTCATGCCACAAGAAATGTACCCTTTGGCACTGAGCTTCCCTGGGCATACATCTGACCCTATGGTGGGTTTCCTTCCTGAGTCCCCCTGTCCTGGTGACAAATAGTTCCTTCATGTAGGAGACCACTGTCTGATCCCAGCATTTATGGCGCTGAGTACTGTCTGTTGAAAATAGGTGCCACGAAGCTGAGCGTCTCCCCAAAGAATCCCCGAGTCCCCAGATCACACGTCCTGGAGCTTCACTGCGAGAGCAGCTGTGACTCCCGACTGAAGCCCAGCTTGAAGCTCTCCTGGGGCAAAGATGGCGAGGCCTTTGAGGTGAATGGTACAGAGGATGGAAGGTGGGTAATTCCTGATTCACGTCACAGGGTCTGCTGGATCTAACATCTCACAACTGAGAACATGCTGAAAGCATCTGCACTGGTTTTCAATGTACGCATGCATCCGCTGCTGCTCCTGCTGGTTCTCCATGCACCTGTGTCATGTGTCAACGTTTTGTGCAGAAATCACCCCAGATGCATGAAGCCAGCTCAGTCCATGGGTTGGAACATTTACAAAAGTCTTGGGAAGGCTGGGAACTTGGGCTTGGGGGCTACTAACTCTTCCTGTGAGTCCTAGAGCATGTGGCCTCAGTTTGGGCATCTGGAAATTGCCACAGTCCTCACGGCCTCCTCACATGTGACTAGCCCTGCCTAGGCTGCTCACACAGCCCAAGGACAATGCTGTCTGTTTCTCTTCACCTCCCAATCTCATGTGAGTCTGTCTCATTTGCTGACCCTGAGTCATGCTTGGGATTCTCTGCTCTGGCAAGCATATGATCTGTGTCCATCAGTGTTTGAGAGGATTGTGCTTGGGGCCCCCTGTCCACACCAGAGTCCAAGGGTGTCCAGTCCCTTAGCAAGAGTGGTGTCTGCAAAGAGTCTGTGCAGACATTCCCTGAGCTTGAAGGAATCTCCTGTATGTGACAGCTGTGTAGGCTGTTGTTACACTGTACTGGCAGGGAGTGATGGCTGAAGCCTACAGGTGCTGAGTGCACATGGCTTTTAGTTTTTGAGTATTTTTGGTCACCCATTGGTTGAATCCCTACATACGGATGCAGTGAATGTAAGATTCCTGACCTCTGTAGAAAATCTGGAGAATGCAGAAGGAATAGAAGCAGGCACTGAGGCCCCCAGGAGGGAAGGAGTACCTGTCCACATTGCTGCCAAGCAGAGATTAACACTGGACCAAATCTCCCTGCAGCTGGGTTCTGTGTCTCAGCCCAGAGCACAGACCTTGCTCCAGCACTCACTGGGCACAACACTCAGATGTGTTGCCCGATATCTGTGCCTCCTGTGGTGTCACGTGATGATGAAGTTGGAAAGATGCCTTCACTAGTCTGTTATTGTGAGTTAACAGACCCCACGCATTCAAATACCAACTGCAGGTCTGTTTCCATGTTGCGATCTGCTCCACGTGCATTCTCGGGTATGACACTCACTTCTGCCACTGGGTTGGCCTCTGGGGCATTTGTGTGCATATCCGTGTGCATGTTGTGCACTTGCATCTGGGTGTGTGGATGTGTGGGATAGGTGTGCACATGTGTGCATGTTCATGTGTGTGAAGGTGCGCTGTGCATATGTGTCTCTGAGGTACGTATACATGCAGCTTCTGCAGGTACTGGGGTGGAGTGCACTAAACAAATGACAGACCCTTTCCTCCACCTTTCCTTGGGGTGCAGAGACCCTGCCTCAAAAGGCACTTGGGAATGGGGAAAGCCAGGAGGGACTGCAACTGAATCCTGATGGCTGGCAGGACAGGCATGGGGCAGGGCTGAGATCACAGGGGGTCTGTTGAGCTTAGTGGGAGCAGTTCAGGTCAGGGGCTTCCATCTGTGGCTCCAGCAGGTGAACGGTGGGTGGGTGAGGGTCTGAACTAAGAATCAGGAATTTAGATAATTTCTCCAAGTAGAGGCAGGAGAGATGGGAGCTGAGGTATCAGAATATCATGGTACAGAACATGATTTGTGATAGGTGAGAAACAAAAGAATGGATTTGATGACTATTATTGATAACAGCCTTTGGGCAGGTGGCACCTGCCAGCCACTCTGTGCTTTACCTCGATAGCTGGTGTTACACCCAAGTCAGGTGAACCAGGAGCTTGCTTTGTCATAGGAGTTTGAGTAGTAATCAATGGAGCTGAGCCTTGAGCCCAGATCTCCAAGGATCCCAGTTTTGGCATCCTGCCCAGAGGAATGGAGCAGTGCCAGACAATGGAAACTGATGTGGAATGGCTGGCTGGCAGGGCGGTGCCCGTGAAGGTGTACAAGGGTCAGGGTGACTCCACTGACTTCTCAGGCGAAGGGACTGAGCAAGAACAAGACAAGGAACAGACTGGGAAGATCCTGTAGCAGGAGGCCCTTGACTATGAAGGTTGTGTGGCACAGGGGAGAGATGAGCGACTGTTGTTTCAGGCTGCTGGACTTCCTTCAGTGGCTGCATCCCAGTTGCATGTTCTGGTTTAGAACTTGTACTGATGCTATTGGCCTGGAATGTTCTGAGCTCCCCACATTCACCACAGTCACTTGACAAATCAGAGGCACCTGGGGTGCAGCTTAAGCCTGAGAAGGGCTTCACGCACGGGAGGGTCACTGCAAAGATGCGTTTGGGGCTTGTGCACGAATCTTGGTTAGAGTCCAACTGTGGGGCTAACCTCAAAGAGCTGCTTTCTGCCAAGCAAGTTGTAGGCCTTTGCCTAGGACCTCAATCATTCCAGAAACTGCCGGGGAGTGCAAAGTTCCAATCTGTGCCAAGGGGGCAGCAAGCAGCAGGAACTGGGGGACTCAATCATGTCTAGGATTAGCAAGACCAGGGTGAATTTGCTGGCAAGCTATTTGCTTATTGCTGTAGAAAGAAGAGATATGTTGTCAACAGTGGGAAGGCAGGCTGTGCCAGCTTTTACTACAATGTGAAGTAGCTTTCCATAATTGAGACTTCTCAGAAGCTTATGAATTTTACGTTGGAAATCTCAATTTTCTGAGTCTGCCTACTTGTCTACAAGGATGGCACTATTTAAATTACCTAAGCTAAATTGCCACCATTTTGAATTTTAACTGTAACAGAGTTTAGACTTCTTGAGTAATTATTGTGATAAAATGTAAGTACAGAGTTAAGGTGGCAATTTACAAAGAGGATTTTCAGGTAGTTGTCCTGGTTACAAACTGGCAAAATCAGAATGAATAAGAAGAAGGTAGTTGAAATGCTTTGCACGAAGAAACTTAGACAAGTGTCTGCTGCTCAGATAAACCACATTGGACCTTACCATGCCTTGTGCTTGGGAGTTGGAGAGTCAGGGTCAGCCTGGGATGGCAACAGGTGGCTGTTCCCCCTCCCTGAGTATTGAGGTGTTGGGAGGTTTGATGTAGCTTCTCCCCTAGTCTCTCCCCAAACCCCAGATATAGGAAGAAGATAAGAAAGGTGTGGATATAGTGGCCTCACCCACTTCCCCATAATCCTCGACCCTTCCCACCCTAATCAACTATGTAAACCTCATCAAAAACAAAACAAAAAGAGTCAGAGTCAGCCACGGTGGAAAGACTTGGCTGGCCTGGGAGGGGACCTGTAAAACTTGGGGAATTGCTTGGAGCTGCTCAGGCTCTGCAGGACAGCCCTCACAAGCTCCCCAGGAAGCTTATATGTCCATTGATGACCATGCACCCCAACCTAGTGATCTTGTTAATGGCACATGCCTGAAAGGTGGGTTTCTCTCTTAGTGTAATGTGTGTTGCAGAGTTGTTTATCTCCCATTGTCACCTGGGTGTCCCATGATGCAATGTACATTTTGTGAAATTGCGATCTTCTCTGAGTCTTTTTCTGGAGGAAAAGAATGGATTCCCTTGCTCCTCTTGTTTTTATCCTTAGTGTAGATTATTCGTCTTTTCTGGTAGGATCATTATTGATGGAGCTAACTTGACCATATCCAATGTCACATCAGAAGACCAAGGGATTTACTCCTGCTTCGCTCACACTGCTCTAGACAGCACTGTGGATGAGACGCAAGTCACCGTTCTGGGTGAGTGTGCAGGAAATCTCTTCACTGCTGAACCTGCCTGCCTGGGCCTTGGCATGAACATTACTCCCTTGGATTCTTTCTTTTGAAAGGAAACCCCACTTTGAAATACTTTCTGCTGTTCTCACATGAATGAGCCAACCCTTCATTTCCCAATGTGTCTGAATGTGGGATTTGGGCAGACAACTGTAGTAACTTGCATGTTCCTTACCCATGTTTTCCATTATTAATCAGATGTCCCAGATCCGCCAGAAAACCTTCACTTGTCTGACAGGCAGAACAGGAGTGTCCAGCTGACATGGGATGCCGGAGACAATCACAATAGCAATATCAGTGGTAGGTAGACTTGGTGTCATTACTGTCCTTGTAGCACAGGGTAGACTGTTTTTGTGCCATGCCTGGTGGATCATGTGTCTGAGAGCATCATCTTGAGCTTTTGATGCAGGTAAACCTCACCCCTTCTAATGCTCCCTTCTTCTCTGCCAGAGTTCATTATAGAGTTTGAAGGAAACAAAGAAGAACCAGGCCGATGGGAGGAGCTGGCCAGAGTCCCAGGAAGGGACACAATGGTGATGTTGGCTCTGGCTCCGTATGTGAGATACCAGTTCAGGGTCACAGCTGTGAACGAGGTGGGGCGAAGCCAGCCGAGCCAGCCTTCAGACCATCATGAGACCCCACCTGCAGGTAAGTGATCTGACAGGTATGTGGGTGGCCCCATCTTTGGGCATGTCAAGGAGGAATAATGGCAGAACAGGTAGGAGTTACTATCGCTTTTGTTATTGGTTAGCTTCAGAGATATAGAGTGAATGTGCTCTGTCTGCCAGTTCAGTCCCCGATGCCTGTGGCAGCTAGAGCTGGGAACCTGACCCAGGTCTCCCACTGGTCCCAGGCACTTGAACCATCACCTACTGCCTATTGAGAAGCTGGAGACTGAAGTTGGAGTGGGGAGCTGAAGCCAGGAATGAAACCCAAGGGATTCTGATGCAGAATGTGGGCATTCTAACCATTCATCCAAATACCTGCTCCATGCCAGGTTTTAGATGTCTGCAGTTAGCTGAACATATCTGTAAACTAACGCCCCCCACTGCCCCACACACAGAGTCACCTGTAAATGCTTCATAGAGAGCAGGAAATTGGGAGGGCGCAGAAGAAAGCATCTGGATTTTGTGATGGCTAAATACTACGTCTAGGAAATCATAAAGTGTAAGTTCTGAATCAAACAGAAAGAGTTAAGGGGTCAACATCACTTTTAAGGATTTACTTGCATACTTGAAAAGCAGAATAAGAGGGCAGGAATCGCAGAGATCGAGAGAGAAGGAGCAATCTTCCATCTTTTGGTTCACCCCTCTAATGGCTGTACCAGCTATAACGGCTAGAACTGGGCTAGGTCAAAGCCAGAAGCTTGGAAGTCTATATGGGTCTTCCCAGTTGGGCAAATTAATTGGAACATGGATCAGAAGTGGAGCAGCTGAGACCTAAACTGACACTTACATGGAATGGCTGTGTCTCTGTGCCACAAAGCTAACCTGAGGGTTCAAATCTGAGGCAGAACTTTGACTCAAAATAGGTACTTTGGTAGCTTTTCAGTGACTTTAAACAGTATCAGTTTTTATGTGTTTCAGCTTTCTTTGCATTTGGAAATATTTCCCTAAACTGCCAAGATTTTTTCTTTCATCTCAGGAGTGATAATGCCTAGTTTGTGCTAGGGGTTGACATTGGGAGTTGATGTGGCCATACCATGGTGTTTACTAAACATGACATAAATACACCAGGGTATAATTACCCTTTTTAGACTGAGAAAAGATTTCGAAGCAATAACAAAGACAGATAAATCAGATTTCTGTGTGATTTTCGTGTACATGGAGCTCAACTCTCAGCCTCATGTCTATTTCTCCTGATGACATGGGCTTGTCTGAATATCCTTCATGCCAACACCCATGGTGCTCCTGTCTAGTCCAGGTCCCTGAAACCTGAGTGTTGGTATTGCTGTCTCCTACTTTGTGATTCTCCTAGTGGCAAACACTCATAACATACTTTTATAAAGATGTTTTTAATAGGAAAAGTGAAACAAGTTTAAAATTGAGACACATTTAAGGTAGTATCTTTTACATAAAAGGGCAAGTTTAAATTTAAGCCGTATAATTACACAATAAGTTATTTGTTATCTGTTGAATGATTATTATATTACACCTAAGAATAATATTAGAGCAAGAACACCATTTTGCTTGTTAAAGTAAAATGTAATTGTAAAGAGCTATCTTAAGTATGCTTAGGAAATAAGCTAGATAAAAATTAACAAATGCAATTAATTTTTTAATCTGTTTTTGTTGGGTGGGGTAATAAGGTATCCCGACTTAATTATTAAAAACAATTTTAATGCTTGCAACTTTTTAGCTCCAGACAAGAATCCTCAAAATGTGAGAGTCCACGCTTCTCAACCCAAAGAAATGATCATAAAATGGGAGGTGCGTATCCGTTCACGTGTGCCCTCTATGTGCTGTGTGTTCCTCTGTTTATTTTTCTTTCCTTTAGATCTGCATCTAAGTACAATGATGGATCAATATTTTCTTTAATAATGGGAAATTGTGCTTATGAATGAATTCAATTTGTGTTATCATCAGTGTTTATTTTAATAACCACTGTCATAAGAACAAGTTGTGAAATAGTTTATACTGCAATACGCTGATTTAGTTTAGTTATCAACTGCTGCAGATTCCTAAAATTTCCATTACCAATATACCATAGGTTCTCACAAGCAGACACTATTAAACACTTTCTCTAAGTGTGATGCAAGGATGGCCCCAAAAGAACGCTCAGCATACGTGCTGTTGCTGAAGTCCTCGGCAGACTCGTGTCTTATCTCGAACACAGTCCAGTTGAGAAAGCATCCCCGGTCCTGGTCTGAATCAGGAATTACACTGGGTGACCTTGTGTTGGCTTTACTCCAGATGGGGCATGGCCTGGGGTGATGCACATCTTGTGCCATGTTCTAGGTCACCCATGCAGTCATGTTCTGTGTCTCATACCTTGTTCTAAATCAGATGCGACACTGGGCGATATCCTTCTTGAAGGCCCAGGTTGTAAACACGTGTGGCTTTGGTGTCTCTGCTTCACTTTCTCCTGTACTTATCTCTGTTAAATGACTTTATTCTGAAAAATTTGTTGTAGAATTCATATTTGCTCAGAAGACGTTAGCTATGTTAGGGTTATGTCCGAGGTTCTTGTGCTACAGAGGAGAACCGTGGCCACAATCATGGTTTGGATTCAGGATCAACCTCTTACACAGGGTCTGCTGCTGTGTATAGATATTGACACTTTATGCTTGCCGGAGTACAGCTGACTTATTATCCATACTTGGCACCAGGATAGACTTGAAAGAATTTTTCAGTGTATTCGCTTTGGTTTATCTTTCCCTTCATATACTGATCTTGTACTTATTTACATAATCACATGTCTACAAACTGTTCAGTTAGTTTTCATATTAACACTAAGTCTTATTTTCATTTCATTGTAGAAAATTTGAGAAAGCAATGTACAGAAATTACCAAGACTGCATTGTCATGTGACTCCTTATTGTCTGGAATAAGTTAACCGTTCCTTCTTTTAGAGATTTCTGTAGGTCAATAACACAGTTGGTTAGAGGATAGTAATATTCGATGGGGTCTTCAAGAAGTTCATAGAAAATGAATATTATGCAAAAACATGCACAGATTTTGACATGGGTTTTCACCAGAATAAAGGTGTCTTTTCCATAACGTTTTTGAAGTCTTCTGTTGTGGACTGCAGGTCACATCTCGTATCTGTAGGTCAGCCCCTCAGAGAAGCCCACCTGCTCCACTGGCACTGGCTGTCATGAATTGGAACAGGACTGACAATGACATCAAACATGTTCTTCATGCAATTTTGAAGTACTAGCGAGCCTAGAGTCTCCAGCATGGCACAGGGAGTTTAGATACGTTTCTTTTTTTCATGCAGTATTATTCTGCATAGCTCAGCTTGTCAGAAGGAATCAAATGCCCAAAATCCCCCAAGTGGAGAGACAGAGACCATGGGGGAATTAGCAGACCACTCCTGAGCATGGCTCACCAAGTAATACCCTTCTGCAGGATAATGAAGGAGGAGAAGTGGGGAAATTCTGAGTGTGCCTTGTTCTGCCTGTTTGCATTGAATGCATGGGATTTTAGCTTGATGGCAGAGTTGGTCTTTTAACTACATTGCCTTCTGGAACTCACCATTTCACGTGTTGAGTGGGTTGTGGCTGCACCCACCTCTGAGTACTGAAGCCCAACAGTAATCTGTGAACACTGGTCCAGGCAGGTGCTTCTTCACCCTAGCTTCTGGTGCTCTTATGCGTAAGTGTATTTATGTGAGTATTTAGCATCTCTTAATAAAGTAAAAGATTTCCAATTTCAGATACACACACACATACACACTCAGAGCTCAACACCTGAATAAAAGAAGAAAAAACTCAAAGTCCAATAATCATCAGGAGCTTCTAGCATTGCTCAGTTCTATGACCACAGGACAACTTTGAAGGACTCAGGTTAATTCTGTTGCAAGGACAAGGATATCCCCCTGTGCTAAAGCATTCTATAGCGAAATTAAATGGAATATGTGTGAGGTGACTGGGATGGTGCTGTGTTGTCTTCTTCAACATTGTTTACAGAGCAAATTTCAAGTGTTTTTTCCACAAGAACTGTGTGTGGGAATGCCTATGATTAGAGTACATCAGTGTGTTTGTTTTTAAACAGCCTTGGTGAGCACAGCAACATATGTAATCATTGTCAATTAAAATATGAACAAGTAAAGATGTTACAAAGTACAACAGAGTTAAAGAAGTGTGGCAACCTGTCTGATTCTTGATAGGTAAACAAAGCACTACTTGTTTACAAGTCTTCCTGGAGGTGTTAAGACTGCCTGGCAATGACACAGAGATCTGGCTAACCAAGTCACAGGTGTCAGACCACCTGCAGGCAGAGCACTCCCCTAGCAGTGGAGTCTGCCCTGTGACCACTTTGCTGTGGCTTTCCTCCCTACTCTGCCTCTTCTGATTTTCCAGCTGAGCTTGGGTTCAGTGGAGATTTTCTGAGTATCTATTGGCAATTGCTCAAAACCAAACCCCGGGTTTGGTTTCAGCACCAAAAATCTGCCAGTGCAAGTGAACTGGAAGGTTTTCCTTAGAACTTTATTTTAAAATGTGCTGTAAGCTTTCTAAATATCACTCTGTTTCTAGAGAAGAGCGTATGAATGGACTGCTGATATTTCTGGATGTTTATGATTAGTGGGGGCTTCTGGAAACAGAATGACCAGAGAGGGCTGAATTCCTTTGGACAGTACTAAAGCCTCTAGTGAATTTATATCCGTGTCACAAGAAGAACTTTGCCCATGAATGCAAGTGTAAAACAACGTGGAAAGTCTCAGGAAGGTTTTATTTCATGTTTAATTTAAAAATATATATTATTGGTCTTGGAGGGGGTTTGCCGCTCTGCATCGGCATGTCGGAGACCAAATCGGCTGAATGTCAACTTCTCTCCTAGCCTTTGAAATCCATGGAGCAGAACGGACCAGGGCTGGAATACAGAGTGAGCTGGAAGCCGCAGGGCGCCTCTGCCGAGTGGGAGGAAGAGACCGTCACAAACCACACACTGCGGGTGATGACTTCCATGGTCTATGCACCTTACGATGTGCGTGTCCAAGCCGTCAATCAGCTTGGCTCTGGCCCGGAGCCTCCGTCAGTGACCCTGTACTCAGGGGAGGACTGTAAGTGACACAACTGAGCTCACATCCACTGCATTTATGTCAGCAGATGGGTCTGAACTGCTGTGTGCAGAGGAGATCCCTGCAGAAGAAATAGAACATATGGTTCCGCCCTAGGGTAGGCCACAGGATTGCTTGGGAATGTGCAGGGTGAAGGAAGTGTGTCACGAGTTTCAATTTTTTTTGTTTGTTTCTCAGTAAGTCATTTTTTTGGTAGAATGTGAAAAGGCTGATGACATCACTGCACTAATTTAAAAAATATGTCTCTCACAAGGGCTTTAGTCTTTTACCCTGGCTTGTCCAGGTACCTATTGCCTGTCCTTGGTCTTGCCTGTGTGTTGGGAGTCTTTTCAAGGCCAATGAGACACATACTTAGCATTAAACACCAAATGCTACAGGTGGCACTTCCTTAAGGGTTGGCGATGTAATAACTGTCATAAACAAATAATTGGAAAAAGAGAAGGGGCACTAATTCAGTGTCAGTCCTGATGGGAGTTGTTCTTCTGCTTTTTCCTATGCCCAAGTATTATTTTGATCCAAAAACAGATGGTCAAGAATAAGAAGTGGTTCCTTATCCATCTGCTCCAACACAAACTCCTATGGCTCACAGCCTGTGGGTCCTGACTGCTCTGTGCTTGGCTTATTCCCCTGCGGTGAACACCTCTGTAGAATACAACAGAGGCAGCAGTTCCCATCATATAGGGCTATTCTAAGAGCTGTGTGAGCCAGGTCAGGTGAAGTTCTTACAACAGTGCCTACTACAGAACCTGTGTCCCATTGATACTGCTGCTACTGAGAGCTGACTGATCAAATTCCAGCATCACTTTGTTACTAGCAGCAGTTCACTGTTTCCAAAGACAAGGTGCCCACAGCATGTCTTGCTGGATCCTTGTTGAAACTGGCCTGAATCTGCATTCCTCGTTCCTCTGTGTGGTGAACGTGATCTTCCTGTAGAACCTGTTGGGCCAAGGAGCTCCTCTGTGACAGAACTCTCTGTTTGCTTTGGAGTTCATGGAAGGGCAATTCCCAGACTGAACACTGAGAAAATCACCTTGCAAACAGCTCATTAGACCATTAGGTCACAACTGCTGGTTATTGGCAGCTAATCGGTGTCCCGTCCCTGACAGATCCTGACACTGCCCCCGTGATCCATGGGGTGGATGTTGTCAACAGCACATTGGTGAAAGTGACCTGGTCCAGCATCCCCAAGGACAGAGTGCATGGACATCTGAAGGGATATCAGGTTGGTTCTTGTTTGTGTTGCAATAGTGTCTTCCCCGAGGAAGCCAACCTAACGAGGTGCCTGATGAGAGCTTGACACCAAGGTTCTGTGGTAAAGGGCTCACATTTCATTGCAGATTAATTGGTGGAAAGCAAGGAGTCTGTTGGATGGGACAGTGTTTCCTAAAGAAGTGAAGATGCTACGATTTTCAGGACAAAGGAACCATGGGATGCTGCCTTCCCTGGATGCCTTTAGTGAATTTCACCTGACGGTCTTAGCCTACAATTCCAAAGGTGCTGGCCCAGAAAGTGAACCTTATATCTTCCAGACACCAGAAGGAGGTGAGAGTGGTAGGGAACCAAACAGAGATTTGGGTTTTTGTTGTTGTTGTTCTTTTGTCTTTAGGAATTTAGCAGCTTATGAGTGTTATTCTTGGACTTGTTTTCCAGTACCTGAGCAGCCAACTTTTCTCAAAGTCATCAAAGTTGATAAAGATACTGCCACTTTATCCTGGGGGCTGCCTAAGAAAATAAATGGAAACTTAACTGGCTATCTATTACAATACCAAATCAGTAAGTGTTAAGCTGGGTAGGGCGAATCTGTGTATGCTGTATTTCTTTGAGAAATGTATCTGTTTAAACAACTGCTTAAATCTTTCTTGTATCTTCTATTACTTATTTGGATATTGTTATATAGTTGTTTGGATTCCTTATTTATTCTGATTACTAATGCTTTATTAGCTGTATAATTCACAAATATTTTCTTCTATTCTGTAGGTTGATTCTTCCTTCAGTTGTTTCCCTTTTTGTGTAGAAGTTAGCAGCTCCTTCATTGAGTGAAGTCCCAGTTTTCCATTTTTTCCCTTTGTTTCTTGTGTCTGAGATTTGACCCCAAAAGGTCTTGCCCATTTCAATGTCCAAAGCATTTATCTTGTGTTTTATCCTTTTAACTTACACATTTCAGGTATTATATTTAGGTCTTTGGCTCGTTTTATGCTGATTAGTATCCATGGTGATACATAAGGTGCGGCTTTGCTCTTCTGCATGTGGTTACCCAGTGTCCCAGCACCGTTTGCTGCAAAGGCCATCCTTTTTCCAAAGTGTATTCTTTGCATCCTTGTCAGATGTCAATTGGTAGAGCTGTGTAGCTTTAGTTCTAGGGTTTCCATTGGATTTGTTGCTCTGCAGGTCTGTCTCTGTTTGACCATGCTGTTTTAATTACTGAATTTTATAGTATGTCTCAGAATGAGGTATTTTATGTCTCTTGCAAGGCTTTTTGGAAATGTTTTGTGATTCTTTCCACATTCCAATAGTTTGTTTTCTGTTTCTGCAAAAAAAAAAGTTAATGGTATTTTGACACAATTTCATTGGGTTAGTAAACTGTTCTGCTAATGTGGGCGTTTTAACAGTGATTATTTCAATCCATAAACCTGGGTGTCTTTCTATTTCTTAGTGTTTTCTTCAATTTCATTTATTAATGTTCAATTGTTTGCCTTCTGTAAACCTTTCACCTTTTTGGTAATTAATTGCCAGGTATTTTATAAACTTGAGGTTATTAGAAATAAAATTTCTTTTTATTTCTTTTTCAGAAAATTCAACAATGATGGCCAATGATGCTATTTATGTTTCCATTTTGATTTTGTTTTCTGAAATTTTGTTGGATTCAATGATTGGATCTGATAGTTTTATGGTGGAATTTTTGGAAGTTTCTATATATGGTTGTGTCTTCTACAATCAATAACAGAGTAACTTCTTCCTTTCTTATTTGTGTGCCCTCTATTTCTTTCTCTCGCCTAATTGCTAAGCTAGCACTTACAGATCTATGCTGAATAAACATGCTAACAGTGGCCATCCTGTGTTATTCCAGATTTGGAAGAGAGAGCCTTCAGAGTTGAGCCTTTCACTATTTAATACCATGCTAGCTCTTGGCTTGCTGACTATACATAGCCTTGTTTGTATTGAGGTATGTTTCTTCAGCTCTGATGACTGCTGAATTTCATCAAATGGCGCCTTTGGTGATCATGTTGAGCCTTCATTCTGTTGCTGTGGTGCGTCATGATTACTGATTTGCATATGTTGAGATATTCTTGCATCTATGTGATGAATCTGACCGTGGTGAATAATCTTTCCAGTATGCTCAGTTGAGTTTGCTAGTATCTGGTTGAGGGTTTTTGTATCTGTGTTCAAGGACATTGTCTTGCAGCTTTGATTTTTTTGTTTTGTTTTGGATCATTGTTCACAGTCTGGCTTGGATGTCAGTGCAGTGCCAGCCTTACAGAGTGAGTCTGGGAGAATCCCCCCAAGCGCCATCTTACTCAGCAGTTGTCTTTCTCTGCCTCTATTTCTTGAGTTTTACATTGATCATAGTATATTTTAGTGGACTGTATATTTTACACTTGTACTTTCAAGTAATCTAAATCTTTTATTATTTTAATTCCCCACTTTGCATGTTTGGCACCCTGCTTTGTTTGCTTGCTCTTCTTTTCATTAGTCTAACTACAGTGAACAGAATATGAAAGGCAATTTTTTTTTGGTCAGCATTAATACAGTGCTCTAATTCTTTCCTAGCTTCTCAGAGCTGTGACAGAATGTCCTCACTGTACCCTCCTTGCAGTCATCTCACAGTGCTCTGTACTCTTACGCTAATCTGTGTACTTATAGCGTTACAACAATCTGATTCACTGTCCTTTAACACTGCATAGCATTGTTCATACAGCAGGCATTTTCATGTCTTTATTTCTGGTTGTTGTTTCTGCATACAAAGAGTAAAAATGGACCTTGATACACACTAGTTTGATTTACAGTTTTTCTACCTTACGGGGTGTAAAGTGACACATGTTCACTAGGAATTGTCCTTTGACCTTTGATATTTCCATGGGCTGATGAGAGGCAGTAGTGACAGAAAGCCACAGCCCCCCATCAGCCACATAATTGTGCGGGGAAGCCGTGTTGCTAGGCTAGTATCTTCTGTGGATATATTAACTGTGGTTTTCACTTAGGATATTTCCAGCACGTGAAGTAACCTCATTGCAAGCCAAGGAGCATCATATTTTAAAGCCACAGGAGATACAAAGATATCATTCTCCAAACTCCCTCTCCAGAAGGAGATTAAAAGTACTTCAGTCGAGCGTGTGCTAAAACACATGACAATAGGAGAAAGGCCCCATTTTTAGTGGGGGCTGTGAAGGTGTTTGGCTCAAGTGTAGCACACTGGTTAAGAACACTGTCTCAGGAGCCACGCACCATGGTTTGGATTCAGATCTCAGCTTGCTACTCCTCCAGTCTGTGTGGTAGACTCATTCTTCTTACATTGGTTTTTTCCCACATGAAATGATCATGATAATTGGGTCTACTGCCTAAGATTCAGTGAGTTGATCGTTGTGAATAATTAAGAAAACTCTGCTTCTTCAAGCATAAACAAAATAGAAAATAAAGAATAATGTCACTTGAATTGTTAAGTTATATGGAATTTGAGATGTGTTATCCATGTTTGTTTGTTTAGTAAATGACACCTATGAAATTGGAGAATTGAATGATATCAACATCACGACTCCATCAAAGCCGAGTTGGCGTCTTTCGAACCTCAGTGCAACTACCAAATACAAATTCTACTTGAGGGCTTGTACATCCAAGGGCTGTGGAAAGCCTGCCACTGAGGAAAGCTCCACTCTGGGAGAAGGGAGTGAGTACACAGGGGTTGCATGTGCTGTGCCCTTGAAGCCTTGTCTGCCTATAAATGAGACGTGACTGTGGTCTGAGTCTGTGGGCCTCCTGCTGTCTGCTGACATGGGTACAGAGCTTACTGGTGTTGTTTGTAACACTTACATGACTCAGTTTATCCTTTTCCACACAACAACAAGCCAAACCTTAGTGTAAGGAACTGTATTTCTACTTCATGGAAATAGAACCACGTAAGTTCACGTTGTGATTCGCAGGGTCAGAGGAGGGATGTTTTCCATTTGAAAGTGTTTGCCTCTTGCTTGGTGCCTGTTCATGTTTATAGTTCTGAAGCTTCTCACTTCTGCTTCACCATCCAATGATTGATCCCAGATCATTAGCTTGAATACATACCATCAATCTGTGGTTTAAATGATTTTCCTGATTAAATCGTACTTTTCTGCTTTTTTCTACCTCATAGCCATTTCCAAATTATTTTCCAATTATAATTTCAATAATGTTCTTAGATTAGAAAAGATGGTAAAAATCAGTGAAGAGGAGGAAATAGTGAGAGGAAGAGGAAGAAATAGTGAGGAAGAAAATGGCCTGTGCTGGCCTTGTTAGAAATACTTGTCTGCGGGTTGCGGTTTGTTGGTGGTTACTCTCTGACCTTCCCCTTAAGTAACAAAGGCTCCAGCTTTCCTCAGCAGTCCTTAAATGCCAAACACTTCCTTATACGGGAAGAGTCTATGAAAGTGCATGCATATGTATATATTCAAATCACTTCTCTCAGAGAACCCATGAATTATTCCCAAGGATGAATTGAACATCAAGTGGAATGAACTCATTTATCATTTTACTCTTAAAAATTAGACTTAAGATGGCAATTGAAAACTTCTTGGATACTAAATGCTTTTATTTCCCACGAGTTCAAACTGGGGTCAGCTGTTCAATACAAAGAAGTCAGAGGGTCATAGTGTAAACCCTCAACTGCCATGCTTTTAAGAACAGACTTTTAGGCCATGCATACAGTTGCTGTTTGGATAGAACCAAGATCATTACATGCGTGAGAAATGCCAATCCTATTCTTGCAAACTTGTGCCATGATGGGAAAAGATCTTCAAATATTCTAACACTTCCTAGGGTGTATGTTGGGAAAGTTACAGTTGGAACTGTGTGCTTTTGTGGTTTTGTAACGGATGCCACTTCCTCCCACCCACGGAATGTTTGAGTGGTGCACCGGAGGCTCAAGGCCCCTATCGTGTGTGTCAGGATTCACAGGGCTGCCCGGCAGTGTGTCTGTGCTCTTGTTCAGGGAACAGCCACTGCTCCCACCCCCGGCTGACACCGATTTCTCCTCTCCAGGCTCCTCTTGCCATAGTCACAGGGAGAAAGCATCATTCCCTTCCCCCGTGGATTCCAACAGGGCTTTAAAAATAATCTGTGTTTCCTCTGAGGACACCAGCCATTCTAAAAATGATGGCTTTTGTACAAGCTGGAATCTACCACTGTGCATCTTTTCCCCTGCCCTGTTGAGATAGCACATGCAGTTTAAGGTTATCTGGCATTTACTCTGAAAGCAGCATTCAGCAAACATTTTCTTCTGATATTTTCTGATTCTCTTTTCAATTGCTTGGTGGCTCACACTCCATGATCCGCAAGGGGCAGGTGTGGAGTTTATCCGAAGCTCTCTTCTCTTAGGAGTGGGTTGGAGGAATCACCTACTGTCCTCTCTTTTCCAAAAGCTTGCACTACTTAATGGTTTACTAATATTTTAATTTTTAAAGATCAAAAATATTTGCCATGTGTCTCTGTTGGTCAGCTTCTGAGCTTTGCTCTGCTGTGCAAATGCTGCAGTTTTTCCACGGTCCATGTTTCAGTGAAGGCCTTTTGTAGCTTTCTATTCTTTGGTAAAAACCAAACGTTGATGTGTAAAACATATCCACATGAAGCAGTTTTTTAATCCCAAAAAGTCCAGATAAAATACATAAGGAACATTATTTTATGTATACATTGCTAACATTTTTAGTTTGTCTTTAATATTTTGAGTTAGTTCTTGGCAAAACTGTGGATCAAATGAAAAAGTATTTTAGGTATTTAGTTGTAAGTTCACAAATTAATGCATGTTTTAATTAAGCTTAACTCATTTCCATGAGGCTTTATTATTAACATGTTTGCATACTGATGATAAATTTTGAAAGATATTTTTAGAAATACCTTTTTGTAAATCACTCAGTAAATCATTCCATTTAAATATATAAGCCTGTGATTTTATCAACTCAAGTTGCTACTAAGTTTAAGTATTTGTTGTGTGACTATCTTATAAAACAAAAACGCGTAGTTAATTATCATCATGTCATATGCTGCTAGTCATAAGTCAAAATGTCACGCTCAGTTCCTCATTAAGTTTCTGAAAACAGAAACTGCACAACATTACACTGTCTGTGCTCCCAACCCATGCTAGGTTTTAAACCAAGCATGTGCAGGAAGATTTATTTTCGCATTTCATTAAGTGTCTCATCTTCACGGGCCGTGAATTCAATCCATTTCACCCCCTCATTTCCACATGTTAAAAAAGGAAGCCTTGAAATGTGGATTTTTGACCTCCTGATAATTTGAGATATAAAAATGCTATAAATGCCTCTCCTATTAATTTTAAATAATAGTAATTTTACTTTTTATATCCTGTTTCCAGTGATTCCAGATCGTGTGACTTAACTGTGTACATTTCTTAGGTAAAGATGTCAGGAAGATATCTGAAGGAGTAAATCTCACTCTAAAGATCCCTCCAGTAGAGGCGTTTGAGCCCGGAGCTGAACATGTTGTTCGCCTAATGACTAAGAACTGGGGTGATAACGATAGCATTTTTCAAGATGTAATTGAGACAAGAGGGAGAGGTGAGAAATAAGATTATATTTGGGGCTGTCTTAGAAAATGAATCTGTGTTCTGTGGATTATTTCACTTTTAGCTATATCCTATGTCGAAAGATAAAAATATGTGTTAGCGATGAAAATAATTTCACTTTATTTTGGCCTAGCATTTCAAAATTACCTAAAGGTAAACTACTCCATAATAGCCTGACTTGTTCTGTGGTTTTTACCATTGTAGTGTCTAACATGATCTCCTGCAATTAACATTGCAAATAACAACAATTAAAAGGGGAAAAAGCAGCCAGACCAGGGTGGCTGTCAGGACCCGGAGGCTGCCCAGCTTCTGCTCCTAATTAGGCCACCTTTGCCCTTCCTGTTGCTTCTGCCTCCACTGTTGCTCCGTGCTCACAGCCAGAACAAAACGCAGCTTGAACGAGGCCCTTTCTGAGTGAAGGAGGAACTGCCTGTTGGTGTTCTCCCAAGACACACACTGCAAATCTCTTTCCTCCCGGGGCCTTTCAGAGCAACCGTGGAATAGGCACTCTTTTGCACCTTTGGGACTAATGTCTGATTTTCTGGGATGGTGTCTTGAGGTCAACATTGCAACTTCTCTCTCTGCTACAGAATACGTTGGACTGTACGACGACATCTCCACCCAGGGCTGGTTTATCGGACTGATGTGCGCAGTCGCACTTCTCACATTGGTCCTGCTAACTGTTTGCTTTGTGAAGAGAAACAGAGGTGGAAAATATTCAGGTAAACTTGTTTCCTAATGGGCTATTCAACTCAACAAACAGTATTATCTGGGAAACATTATTTAGACATTTTTTCTTTTACCTGCCGATTTAACTCAAGTTTTTATTAGCAATTTAGATCTATAATATCCTAACAGGAAAAATCACTAAATTAATCAGAGGGAATAAGTTACTTGTTTTCTTGTTTCTGGTACTAAGGGTATGTTCTGTAGCTATTATACTGGTTAGGATACAAGCAGCCCATTTTGGAGCTTCCTGCTCATATAGACCCCAGAAAGAAGCAACAGCTCAAGGAACTGAGCTCCCGTCACCCACAAGGGAACCCTGGATTGCTCCTGGCTCCTGGCTCCCGACTGTGGTTGTCTCAGGCCACTGCAGGCATTTGGCAAGTGGACTAAAGATGGGGGAGTTTCTGTCTGTCTCTCTGCCTTCCCTTTCTCCCTCAAATGAACCACTCAATCAAGTCAGGTTCTGAGATGGCTCATGATATTTCCAAGCTTCCATTTCTGTTTATAGAATGTCAGACATACTGAAGAGACACTAAGTCACACGTATGAGAAGGGACCATCTAAGAGTGGTGCCTGGCTCAGAGCATTTCAACAGGTGCTTGCTGCTAGCGGTGGGCCCTTGTGAGCTTGATCAAAGTGAGCCAGTGCTCAAAGCCTCTTTCTTATTCCTGTGATAGATATTGGGTTTTCTGCTTCTTGACTTCATAGTACATAAAATTTAGGAAAACCATCCAAACTGCTTATTCAGGGAAAGATGACACCCTGCTGTCTACTTCATGATGTTCAGATTCTTGCAATACTCTTGACTGGCTTATGATCCATCCAGAAAATACTTACTAGGGACCTGTCATACAACAGAATCATCTGGACCATGATTTCTTTTTCTAAACAGATTTATTTTTAGTTGAAAGGCAGATTTTACATGCAGAAAGAAGGAGAGATAGAGAGAGTAGGTCTTGCATTTGCTAGTTTACTCTCCAGATAGCTGCAACAGCCACAGCTGAGCTGGTCTGAAGCCAGGAGCCAGGAGTTTCTTCTAAATCTTGCACGTGGGAGTCGGACCCCAAAGACTTGAGTCAACTCCTGCTACTTTTCCAGGCCATAAGCAGGGATCTAGAAGGGAAGTGGAGCATCCAGGACATGAATCTATGCCCATATGGGATGCTGGCACCAGAAGGTGGAGGATTAGCCAGATTCACCATTATGCCAGCCCATGACCATGATTTTAACTCTCTATAAAGTTAAGTGGGTAATTTGTGCAGTTAAAGATATAACATTTTCTTCTGAAGCCATAAATTATATTCACGATGACTAAGAAATGTCCTAGGAAATTCATTGGAAAATTTGAGAGAATGAATACCCTCTTAGAGGGTCCCAGCATCTGAATTCTGAGGACGCTGCCTCAGGTCAGCACTGTGAATAACCTACAGAGCTGGCGCTGCCTGAGGGAGGAAGCAGGGAGTCAGGGCTCACCCACCATGGGCAGGTGCCATTGGAGAGGGTTCTCAGCACATGGCCACAAAGAGACAGACCCAGGCTTGAGTTGCCACAGAAGACCTGGATACTACGATGGCTGATGCCATGCTTCTGCTGGTCCAGTGACCTGGTATTGAAGACAGCTGCAGCAAGCAGGACAATGAAGTGAGTTGTTGCATTTGGTCTTCTCTGAGATGATGTCTTGGTGAGTAGGTCCAGGTGCCCTCCCACCTGCTACAGATCACTTGGGAAATAAACTGCACTCAAAAAGTCCCTCTATCTCTTGGCTTCGATCCATTGGGTATGTGATGGGTGCACACACAGTCACAACAGCACTCCATCTCTGGTCTCCTGAGCCTGAAGCAATGCTGGGCTCGCTGACTGTCCACCTGTCAACAGCATGACTACCACATCTTTACTTCTGTTGGCCTCACTTCTTCTTGGTTCTTTGGCTTCATTTTCCCTTTATTGATTTTTCATTTTCTGTAGTGAAAGAGAAGGAAGATTTGCATCCAGACCCTGAAGTTCAGTCGGCGAAAGATGAGACCTTTGGAGAATACAGGTAATTAGTGTTCTGTCTCAAAGTGGGTTGAAGCACCTACTCCTCAGAGCGAAGCTCAAATGGACAGAAAAGTGCTGATCTCAAGGTTCACGTCTTGCAAGTAGGGTCCCACATTCTGAGAGTGAGCATGGAGGTGCTGAGAACCACCAGGGAGGCAAGCATGTGTAGTGCCTAGTCTCCTGGGTTAGAGCAGCATGCGGACTCCAGCATGCGGACTCCAGCTGGGTCTGGCTGCGCCTCCAGAGGCTATAGCAGGGCTGGACCAGGGCTGTGACTGCTCAGGTGGCTGTCAAATGGCTCTGTCCCACTATCTGAATGGATTCAGTTCATCACAGACCAGCACCCTCCTTGTGGCAAACAAGGGGAAATCTCTAGGGATCTCCCAATGTGATAGCTGGCTCCCATCAGAGGTGGGAAGCCACAAGGCAAGAGGCAGCCCCAGGGAAGATCGGTCCCTTTGAGGTAGGTGGGCCTTGGAAGCAATGCCATTGCTCTGCATATTAGGTCAGATGGAGTCAGCCCACAGGTGAGGTTTGGACCCTGCAGGAGGCTCAGAGCCTGCCAGGTAGGGTCCCCACTGTCCTCAGAGAGGCTGGTGCCCACTGCTGGCTTGTGTCTTGCAGCGACAGCGACGAGAAGCCCCTCAAAGGCAGCCTGCGGTCCCTTGGCAGGAACCTGCAGGCCGCGGAGAGCGCCGACAGCCTGGTGCAGTACGGGGACGGCGACCACGGCCTGTTCAGCGAGGATGGCTCCTTCATCGGCGCCTACGCTGCGACCAGGGAGAAGGGCTCTGCTGAGAGCACCGCCAGCTCCGCGGCCACCTTTCCCCTGCGGGCCTGAGGCCTGGGCGACCCCGACCCCAGGAACCCTGCGGCCGGCAGCTGGAGTGAGACCTGCAGCGCCTCCAGAGAAACCCACCACAGCTCCAGCTCCTGTTTCCTTTCAGTCTTGTTTTCCAGGCGCTGAGACGTGGACATAAGGCAGGCAGAGCTGTGTAGGTTCGCCCCAGCCAAGGGCCCACCGCCAGCCACCCTCCTCTGCACCTGCGTGTGTGAGGTCGCGGGCTGGAGGAGGGAGCAAGCCGGCTATTTTAAGTGTAAAAAGGAACATGAATGTCTTATGGAAGCAGCTCATTAAATATATACAGATGAGTTTATTATTTAAAGTTTCAGTAGCGAAGCCCTAGGTGATCAACCGTATTTATTGAGAGAAGGCCACGCTTGAACAGAAATGTAGCCTTTCAGCTCTGAAGGGAATCTGTGTTGTACCAGGCCAGCCACGTGGCTTTTACAGTCCACCCACCCACTCCTACCCCTGCTTGGATTGTGTGGCTGGGGGAGAGCAGTGGCCAGGGACCTGTTTATGAACGAATGGGCTTGGGGCCGTGGCCTGGGGTCTGGTAGTCACACCGTGTCCTGCCCGCCTTTCTCAGTCGCTGCTTACGTGTTTCCACGTCTGTGTGATGCCAGGCCTGCACATTCTCCAAGAATGCCTTGTGCATACCTTGTTACTCTTTCCAGCATCTGAGGTGTAAATGGCTTCATTTTGAAGTGAGGGAAGGACTCAGGGTGGCGTGACTGTGGTCCGTGGGCTCCAAGCTGGCACCTCACATGAGGTTCCACAGGAAGATCTTGTGTAAAGCATTTGGTTTTGTTCTTATACTGTCTTTTTTCAGCACTCTGAAATAAAACATTATAAATGTTGAGGGAAACGCTTTTACATTTTGCAATGTAACTTTCTGTTGCTGGTTGATGCCCTATGCCACCCCTAAAACAAGTGATGTGCAGCAGGCATTCCCATATACACCTTTATCTGTGTTGCGTTTTAAACAGCTTCAACAGAGGCTCTTGTCAAAGTCAGGAGAAATTCTGCTAATTTGTTTTCTGGCATGCGTGCAGCAATTCCATTTCAAATTGCACACAAAAATACATAGTAAGTACTACAAAGGGACCCACATGCATGTCAGCAAAATCCACTGCTCAGCTTCTTATTTGATGGAGACTCTTTTTATCTTACTTTGAAATTTTCAACTGTTTTTAAGTGCAACTGATTGCAAATTCCATCTTAATTTTTGCATATGTGTGCCAATATTTTTGGTGTGCAATGTTAAATCCTCAACTTTGATTTATATTTCTTGGGAACCAAAATTAGGGGCAATGGTAATGGCCAATGTAGCACCAGATATGGATGTCTCACTGTCCTGTTTAACTCTACCTCCCTTCATTTGCGCAGGACCACACCCTGCCTTGGGTGTGCTGGGAGATGTGTCCCAGTTCTCTCAGTGTGAGCGGGGGCTCCATGCACCCCTCAGGGCTGCCTGACCCTTAGGAGGAGCAGTTGTGTACCCTGATTGGTCTGAGGAATTTGTGGTGCTCAGCTGTTACACAGGGGAAAGTTGGATTCATGCTCATTTTCCCATTCTACTTCCTCTTCTTTGTCACCAGCTAAAAAGTGGTTTTAAGAAAGGTAGATTGGGAATAATGTAAAAATGTATGCTAGGTGTAGATGAGTTAGGCATTCCGTAACTTTTAAGTCTGATGTTAACAAGCTACTGACTAGACCTCAATACACTGACTAGGGTCTGAGACAAGTGGGTCTTCCTCTCTCCTTGAGTAACCAGAACTGGGAGTGAGCTGGGACTGGGTCTGTTTGCCCTCGCCTTCCATCCAGCGCTTCTCTGAGTTCTGCGTGTTTTATCTGAGCATCTTCAGGAAAGAAGGAGTCACCCGTAGGTCTCCCTTTTAGTTATGAAGCTATGTTTGTCATGTTTCTAGGATTCAGAATAGGTTTTGGATGGACAAAGAAAAAAGACCCATGTCAGTTGAAATGGATTCCACTCTTTGCTTCAAAAAATAGGTAACAGTGAAGATCGGGCAAAATGATAAACCCGTGGTGATAGGATAACTTGCAATTGAGCCACTTGGTGGTGAGGCAGCAGCCAGCTTTTAGAGCTTCACTCCCAGTTGGATTTGCTATCAGTAGATTGCATATGGTGGCTAGGGTGGTCACAGAGAGTCCTGGGAGCTGTCCAGGGTCAGGGGACCCAAATTCTCTTCCAGTTCCATCAATGATTTTGCACATGAACCTTTGGCTCCAAACTCCCAGCTGTAAGTGCTAATGCCATCTCAGTCTCCTCATGTGGTCACAGGGTGTTCTTTTATATGAAGAAAAATCTGAAATTGACAACAGCGAAGATGCCTTTCAACTTCATGATCAAACCTGCAGCCCAATTACGTATCCAAAAGTCACCTCCACACACCAATTCAGCGCTTTCCTGTGAGCACATAAATATATTTTTATAGAAAGTAAACCTACAGAAAAAACACAAATAATCCACTGTGCAGTTAGCAGTGTGAGTTCCACGTGCCATTGAAAAGTATTAATTAGAAAAAGAATTAAAACAGGGTCTTTGCTATACTGAAGTGTTTTCCACTAATTTTGCATACATATTTGTAAGAAAATGTGAATTTGGTGGATATATTCTGTTGGTATAAAGGCATCTGATATTTTCGATGTACCCATATTTATAAAAATGTAGAGCACAATTAAATTATGCTGGAAGCCTCAAATAATATTTTTCCTATTTTATACTCGTGGAAGAGAGGAACTAAAGAGAGGACAATAGTGAAAATGGTGTTTTTCTAAGCATTTAAAATGCAACTGCCAAACAAAACCCTAAGCATGTTTACATACGGTTAAGATGGGATTCGTGAAACTATCTCAGATCAGTTCTAGCAGGGCTGGATTGCAGTCTGTGTAGTGCATGTCCTGGTGTTCCCGATGTTCTTGGTGAGGTGGACAGGGTGAGCTCTGGCTGACGGCTCAGTCCAGCATCAAGCGAGCGAGGCGTGGAGCGCAGGTTCACCAGATTGCCTGTTTCTCAGCTTAGATCAGTATTTCAAGTAGGAGTTTATTAAAACGTGTTTGTGTCGTAACTGGTGTTTGTATTGTGCTTATGGATATGTATGGTCTAAAGATATTTTCATTATGCGTGAAATTCAACTTTCCAAATAAAAAACCCAACTTCAATGCTCTAAATGAGTTTGTATTCTTTTCTTGTAGTTGAGAGGAAGCTCATCTTCAATTTTCATAGATTCTGGGTAACTATAATGAATGAGAATAGGCAACACAGAGTATGTGGTGGTATGTATAAATAAATGTTAAAATTACTTAATATTAAATGCTCTATTTGTAAATATAGTTATCAAGGCAAATTATACAATGAAGTTTTTATTTTTACAAGTGTAAATTTAATATGAAAGTGCATTTACCCAATTATTTTGTAGAAAAGTATAAAGTGTGTTACTTCTCAAATAATGCAGGCAGGTAACTTTTAGTCTCTTAGAATCTTTAAAATTGTCATCTTCATAAACTGTTTAATCTACTGGCAACTTCACATTGTCACATTCAACCATCGAACAACCTTTGCTTATAGAAGTAGAAGAGTAGGTGAAATCGCCTACTGTGGATCACTCGCATGGCCTGGAACTAAATTATACCACTGGCTGCTTGAGTGCAGTATCCATTCAATCATAAAGCCAGTATCTCCATTCATTTTCTCCCTCCTCCACATCCTCTTAGAAATATCAGAGAAACTTGCTTATTTCTCATGCTTACAAGCTTGTTTTAAACTGTGTGGTCAGGACAGGCCTGAGGGAAATGGTATTTTATTGTATAAAACAGTTGAATGTCACAACCTGCAACAGTGATAATTCAAATAATCGGCTCTTTTCAGGCCCAGCACCATAGCCTAGCGGCTAAAGACCTCGCCTTGTACACACTGGGATTCCAAATGGGCGCCGGTGCTAATCCCTACAGCTCCACTTCCCATCCAGCTCCCTGCTTGTGGCCTGGGAAAGCAGTCGAAGACAGCCAAACCTTGGGACCCTGCACCTGTGTGGGAGACCTGGAAGAGGCTCCGGGTTGCTGGCTTTTGGATCAGCACAGCTCCAGCCATTGCGGCCGCTTGGGGAGTGGATCAACAGACAGAACCTCTTCCTCTCTGTCTCTCCTCCTCTCTATATATCTGACTTTATAATAAAATTAAATGAATTTTAAAAAATAATAATCCACCCTTTTCCAATGAGTATCACACATCTCCTAACCCAGCCACTCCTCTGCAGAGCACCTGCAGTGAGTCCCAGAATAACTTTCCCTGAATGTTTTGGTGTTTCCTTTCCAAAACTAAAGCCTCTGTGATGGCGCATTTCTTCTCTTTCTCTATTTTCATTTGTTTCATCCATAAACCACAACACTGAGAACCAAGGCATGTTTGCTGGTGTTCCTGGCGTTTCAAGGAGGGCCTTATTATGGATATAACATGACACAAATGTCAGATAAGCTAGAGAACAATTTCCCAAGAATGTTGTGTTAGTGTGCTGGTCTGGGCTTGTGCTAGTGCAGTAAGCTAGTGTCTGTAGTTACTTGCATGAGTAAAGAAAGGCACCCACAGATGTCATCAGGGGTTACCAGGAAGGAAGAATCTACTACAACTCGTTTGCACATTTTATTGACAGTTTGGAAGAGAATTTTGATGACGGGTCTATTCACAGGGCAATGAAAAAGTTCACATTTGTAACTGTGGTCATCAATATGAATATGTCTCAAGGAGATTTTTCGACCTTATGTGTAGGAAATATTTCTGATGAAAATGTTTTTGGAGAGTTTCTAAAGCGAATTGAAGTAACGGGTTGGATGCACTGTGACTCCCCAAGGAGGATATGGTGCCCAAGCACATGGGAAGATAGCTTAGTTTTCTCTTCCACTCTTGTCCACTCAAAGCTCCGACTATTCACTGAGAACTGTCTGAATTTTAGCCCAGTGTTCCCCTTGGAGCTAAC